CACTAAGCAATTTCTACGAATTCAACATATGGTGAATAGATAAAATAACCGCGTTTTGCCATTAAATATTATCCCCAAAAGAACGTTCTAAAGGTATAAAAACTAATGGGGAATCAATTATAAAAGCCAATATAGGGTGAAATATCATCAAATTTCCTCTACATTAGCAGATGGTCAAAATAATCAATCAAACCCTTAAACACACCTCGCTTTTTAATCGATATGTTAGTATATTTTTGCAATAATTATTTCTCACAAATAAACTCGCTTTGATTTCTACCACCACAATAGCAGAAAGATTGTATACAAAGGAAAACAGAGATAGGTGAGTCACAGAAAGGGTTTTCTCTCGATGAGTGATTCCCCAAATGAGGGCCAGATATAATTCAATAAAACGTCACTGTCGATAAGCGCATCAAATTCTACGTATCGGGGGAAATTGTTTAATTAAATTTAATTCGAAATTCGTAATTGATTCGATGTGATTTGATTGTAGTGGTGCAAAGAGCGCGAGTTCAATTAAATCGCTTATTGCCGAAATATTAAAATAAATTTACAGCAATAATTAAAGCGAACTGTGGGCTTTTTTTTTATTCGAACTCAATTGTTGCGTTAAATAATTTAAACGGCTTTTAAATTCGATAAACTCTTTTTAACCCTATAAATTGAAAGTAATGTAATTAGGCTATTTAGATACGTTACCCGTATGGTGTTTATTCTACTAGTAGATACTTTTATTTCGTGGAATGTCGAGAAAGAGTCCCGCATATTACTAAAAAACGTACCCTCCTATAATTTTTAGATAATAAAAGACACGTGACAACAAAAAATACTTACGTTATATAGTGATATTGCTGATACAATTTTTATGGAAGAGGGTGTGAATTAGGGAGAGGTCCTTTATTAAACACCCGTGCATCAAAAACGAATTTATTGATATTTATTGTAATAGATACCAAAATGTGTAATACCACTTTTACTACGAAAGTCTCTCAACTAAGCACCAAGTAAATCGATTTTATCAACATTTAAATTGATAACTTAAAATAGGATTAATCTGCAGCGGAGTAGTAGATCACCAAATAAACCATTCGAAAGGTAAATCGCCGACGAATTTGTAGCGACTCGAGCTAAATCGAATCGACGATGCTCCCCGGTCTAGATTAAAACAAATTCGAGTCAACCTCGATATCCGGGCCCCATCAATTATTTATTCTAAATGGACGAAGGAGATGTATAGGAGAAGGTGGGCATGCAGGCGGGGGTCTCTGGAGCCGGCCGATGGCACAAATCTCACTTAGGTGACCGCCGGTAACAATGATGGATCGGTTTTCGCCGTCTCCCCCGTATGCGCGCTGGCGAGGAATGTGTCATGGCGAAAACGAACGAAGTGCATGCGGGATGACGCTGTTTCGCCGCCGGGAATTTGAATGGACAATTCCATTTTCCAAGAAACCCACAAAACAACGCATAAGGAAACGGCTAAGGAAGTTCCGGAAAGTTGATGAAACTGGTACAAATATCTGGTGGATTTGTCAATGAAACTGAAGATGAATATATCGATGACACTAAGAGGAATATGGATACAAAGAGAAATTGCTTAATTTGTACTAAAAGTATAGGGAGAAAATGTGATAATATTTTGGCAAATTAAAATTTGGTTAACTGGAAAACTTAGCAGGTTCCTCCTGTTATGTCGGGCAAGCCGGTCGCAATTTTTTTTATTTATTCATGCAAATAACAATCATTTGCAGCGCCGGAGCTGTATAAATTCGTAATTTCGTCAATTAGGTATACAGTATACAATATGCAAAACGTCCACCATTCAGATGTATCCGCCAATTCGTATTGTAATTTTTCTCGCCCGTCAAACTGTCGGTTATTTTTCGCATTTTATCGGCGCACGAACAATGAGACGCGAATAATTATGAATGTTTAAATAATTACGTTCGCGATTAGTTCGGCGTACGGGCAGAAATGTTCCGGTTTTTTTTTGCATTAGCATTCAATGGCGACCTGGTCGCTTTAATTCAATTATTTTTTTATTTTTTGAATTACTGCAACTACCGATGGGCGTCTATCAAATTTGCTAATGAAATTCAATAGTGCTGGTATTATTATGCACTCGAAAATGTATGGATAATCTCGCGCGCTGGGCGAGCTTGTAAATAAGAATTTGTGTGTTAACGAGGGCGATTAAAATAATAAAGTTATCTAGTCGTGTTTCGGTGATAGTTTACTTTTATCTATCTAGAACAGTAGTTATTAAATATAGTACCTATAGGTATAATTCAATTTAACAACCGAGTTGATAATAAAGGTATATAAGTTGGACGTTAAACGGAAAGTTTTAATCTCCAGGTCAAATGTTAACAGCATCCTTGGGAATAAACAAAATAACAATAAAATTTAACTGACTCCGAGACCGGCTTATGTAGTTTTGAATATACGTGCATATACGTGCGGGATGAAGTTGTGCATAAACGGCTCGAAGCGTATGCAATTCCAATGATAATTATCTTCGATATATAGTGGAGTTTAAATTCGAATAAAACGGACGTTTCAAGAATATCGAGATGTTTATCAGCATCGTTTACACGACGCTATATGCGAAATGTTCGAATGCGATAATTCCAAAAACGATTTTTTTTAATCTGCGCTAGATGCTACGAAAAATTGTAATGCATATCTAGGTTGGGAAACTTTGTTTACGAAGAACGTAGTGCGAAGTTTACGCGATAACGCAAAGGCGACCCCATGAGGAAAATACTCGAGGAAACTTCGACTGTACGGGGCCACAAAGAAAATGGTTGCGGCGGTGTCTGGGGTGCCATGACGTCATATTATCGCCCCTCACCGCCGGCTATTCCGGCAAAAACCTCCAAGGTTAGACCCAAAGTATATGCGCCTACTTCGAAACAGAAGTTGTAAAAATTTCAAACAGCACTTCCTGGTGGAAGTTTGTTGAACCAGGTACGTACTATAATCTAAAGGTACAGTACAAACTACTTCACTTCTTTTGTAAACTTTCCATATAGGTCCTATCGTTGGTGCAAAACTTGTGTACGATGTGCATTGATATTTGTTTTGCACCAACTGGAGATGTATATTTTATTAAATTTAATTAGATACCAGTACAGGGATCATGTGGTATTTAGCTATTTATAATATATCGAGGAAGCATTAATTATGGAGCCCGTCAATTCGGGTTGTCGTCAGTATTGTACACCGAAGCTTTATCAGTATGTTAACAGAGTTCTAGGCGATTGAATCCTAAGTCTCTATCGGGTTTCCGTCCATCTTAATTAAGCGTAATTAGGAAAGGACCAGTTTAGATGCTTTTGTCGACTGCGTGGGTCCGAATTAGTTTAATAGCAAGACAAATAAAGTGCATGCCCGGCCGTAAGCGCGGCCATATTTGAACGGGCTGTCAAATTATAAAAGTAAACCGGGTTTTTCAAACAATAGATGAAAAACTTTAAATCGAAAGGAATATTAACTCACCTATTTTGTTGTTGAAAGCTGCTTAATATTGTTCCAGAACATCACTATAACGTACAAGAACTAAACTAAGAACACTAAAAACTAAAACAGTCAAATAAGTCTAATCACAAAAATTTATTTCACCCCGACGTTATAGATAAAACAATACAATTCGCACTAGAAAGCAATCGCCAATCGGCATCGATAACGTTTTTCGAAAGCTGGAGGGCGGAGGGGGAAATTTCCGCTCGCTGATAAAAACTGATTCTGATCGCTGATTTTTTTTAAGTTAAAATCCCGATCAGTTGATTATTCAAGCCAGGGTTGTATTCGCTTTTTGCATGTATTTCTAATGGCTCTATTTTGTTTATTATATTTTTTTAGAAAAATGAAATATGCGAATCGGTCTCAAATTGTGAGATGACAGTTCAAGCTGTCAAAACTTCAAAAATAATTTTTTTGACATTTCGAGGAGAAAATGGAGAAATACATTAACCGAAGATACGTGAGGCATGAATGCATGATGTTAACAACAAAATCATCGCTGATTTAAGTATATTTTGTATCTATTTTTAGTTTGAATGAAACCTATCTTATTAATTCTATATAATTCGTACGCAAAAAACCGTGGCCCTTTACAACATCGCCTCCTAGCGGCCGTTTTATCCTTAAATAACGGGACACTTTTTCGACCTATGTTTCCAGGACTTAGAAATATAGGGCCGTGGTTTATTTACTCTGATAAGTAAGATAAAAATCGAAAGCCCCCATCAGCTCTTGATCCGTTTATGCCGAACCGACGTCGGTTATTATTATTCAAAGAGCGTCAGTTTTCTGCGGAGGATCCCGACGATGCTTTCCCATTTTCTGAAGAAAAAAAAAACATCAGTCGAGAGCCAAATCCTGGCTTTTCTCGAAATGAAAAAAGCGCACTTTCCGCATCTCGCATTTTTATATAGCGTTATTTTCATCCGCCGCCTTCGGATTTTGATGAACTGATTATAGGTAACTGCAAACAAGATACGACCGCCGGCGTCGGCGTCGGGACGGATGATTCGCCTGTCGCTTCTCCATTCGCCGTTTCTCAATTACCTGCAAATCGAATGAAATATTAGACAAAATACGAAGCAATCTACACAGCTACTCTATATTTCTATATAAGGAAGCTTTGATCAGTTGTTGCGCTACTGGTTTTCTTATTTCGCTGGATATCCTAATGGAATCTAATCTATGACTTGACCAAGATGAAGGTTTTTCTTGCCGTTTCCTTTTTTTCCATCAGAAAATCTCATTACAGTAACACACCCTCAGCAAATGCATGCAATAATACATATAACACAAATACTTCCCTGCTCATCTCTAGGGAAATACACATTTTCAAATAAATAGATTTACAGTTTTCTTGTTATATTAATTTAATGAAATACTTAAATTAATATAACAAAAGTTGGAGATTACAAAAAAAAAGTTTTAATGAAAAATATCGTATAAATTAATTTTCAAACAAGGTTTCGTCACTTAAAAAAAACCCTCAGATACACTTTGAATTATTTAAACACAATAGTATCTAACATGGCGCCCAAACATTGTACGATATTGTTGGTCATCAATATATCGACTTTCTCCTCTAAATGCCTCTTGGGATCTTGTTTACCCACGTTCTTGATAGCGAGTTGTTCCGGAGTCATTTTCTCCTCTTCCTCCAAGGCCTTGTTGTAATTCTTGGCCAGTTCCAGCATATCGGCCACGGTCTTCTCGTTCACGCTGCAATTCTCCGAATAATCCGCCAGAGTCAAACCGTCCATCCACGATTTCTTGTGCAAATTGAGCAGCATCTTCTGCTCCAGCTCGTTCTTCCTGTAATTGATGCTTATGGAGTAGTAGTGGCGATTTAAACCGTGAATCAGCGCCTGCACGGACGGTTTCTGCAAATGCCCCAAATTCGAGGTCGTCTGACGGGGTTCCTGTCCCAATACCATCATATTGGGATTGATTAACCTACAATATACAGTACTTTAGTAATCGCACACACTCTGTGATTAAATTAAATTAACCTAAAGGCATCGATGACGACCTTTCCTTTAACGGATTGAATCGGATCTACGACTACGGCTACCGCCCTCTCGGAGAGCGCCTCGAAGCTCTGTTGGGTGTTTATGTCGACGCCCGACAACCAACAACCGAAACCCGGATGGGAATGGTACCAGCCGACAACCATTTCAGGTCGCCCGGTCTGTCGTAGCATATCTAACATTTTCGCTTGGAATACGGGATCCACAGCTTCTACGCTCACTCCGGTACCCGTCTGGGGCATAGCGAACACGTCTATGACTCTCACAGTGTAATCATCCACGAACTCACCTACGAATTTATTATTAAATACAGTTATACGAAGGAAGTTACATTGTACGGTATATACGAACCTAACATAAGCCCCATGACTTCCATGGGTACGCCGGCCCTGCCGTGTTTCAGCATTTTTAGTAGGGCTAGGGAGGAAATGTAGACCTGCTCGGCTGTGTCCACCACCGGGGCGTCGGAAGGCGGCGGTGCTTGGGTTAAACCCGGCATACCGCCTCCAAGACGAAGCAATCTATCCATTACTATGGGATTCACGAAATACAATTAAATTACAACAATTAAACTACTTTTCGCAACACTGAAGTTTGGAAATGAGAACGGTTTACAATTTTTGTACAAAATAATAAATTCGCAAACTCACTACACAGACATGACGTTTATGACAATGACAAATGACAGTGACAAGTGACTAATGTTATTCGGATTTTCGGCAAAATTAGGAACACATATCTGAAGTGTCAAAAACTACTAAAGAGAAGGCATTAACAAAAAAGAAGGTGTCAAATGTCATCGCATGTCAAATTTTAATAATAAACAAAAACAAATTCAAATAAAATTTTAACGAATAAGTTAATAACAGCAAGTAAGAAACAATTTTTATCTTTATTAGAACACTTAATTACATGAAAATTTATTTTATTTATTTGCTTACTCATCTGAGCTCATGTTGATAATTTCATTCCATTCGCTTTCTGTAACGGGTGATACTGATAGACGAGATTGTTTGACCACAGGCATGTTTTGTAAAAGAGAATTAGATTTAATATCGCTTAAAGTGACTTTGTTACTTAATGACTTAACGAATTTAACGTCCATCATTCCGAATTTGGGATCGTCCGCGTAATAATATTCTTTGCATATTTCAACGATACCCTGTATTGCTTTCTCTGAAACTGTTCGAAACGAAGTAATTTATAATTTGTTGTAGAATTAATGCGATTAAAAACTTACCTGAATGGTAGAAAAAAGCTTGATCGCCCAGTTTCATAGATTTCATGTACTTTTGTGCTTGATGATTTTTCACCCCATCCCAAGGGGTGACGACATCTTTCACCATTGTCTCCCATGAATAAGTGCTCGGTTCTGATTTAAGCAACCAATACTGCATTATTTCGACGTTTTTTAAACAGTTTTAAGCTCTAAATCTAAGTTTGAAATTCGAAGAAAGTAGGGTTATATGAATACCGGTAATTGTTTGCTGAGTAGGCAACACTTTTTACTTTTTACAAAAATGTAGTTTCAGAAGATTGATTTATTTTAAAATATTGCCAATTAACAACGAACGAAAACTTTCAAATTTTAAAGAAATAATGAAATTATTTAAACTTAATAATAATAAAATTAACTTAATTATCCCGAATTAGACTTTTAGGATCTTTTAAAATAAAGATTTTTACTTTCTTCCAGCTTTTTTGATTGCAACTGTTTTTTTCGATTTCTTTGACGTTGAAGCTTCTCTAATAAGCAAACTATCGGGAAAAGTTAAAAATTATAATATGTACTATTAAAAAATTCGTAGTTACATGCTTAATTATCATTAAAGCTTAGAAAATATGCACTAAAAATGGCAAAATATGCCCTTATATGTATATGCGTTATATATACAAAATATAATAAACAATGCCGACTCTCGGACTATATTACTTATTAGAACATAGGAAAAGAGGGATAGAATCATTTAGAACTGTTTAGAACCAGTTAAAACTGTCTAAACTCATTTAGAACGCTCTATAATCATTTAGAACTATCTAAAACCATTTAGAACGCTCCAGAATCATTTGGAACTGAAATATTTTGTAAATTGCATATGTATTTTAAAATTTTGGGGGAAATATGCATGTATGCACTTTACATGAATTTAGCATATTTTCCAGGCTGTAATGATCATAAAACGTTTACTGTTTACTTGTTTTTTACACGTTTTTACCTGTGAATGATGCTGTACTTTCGAAGTCTCTGCAACAACGGCATCGAAATAGCTTGTCGGGCTTTTTCGAAAGCTCCCTTCAAATGAACGCTGTCCCTACCATTTGCAGGCGGTTGATATATCGGGTTGCCCATATTCGCTTTGAATGGTTTGATATTAGCAGCTTTTACCCAAGCTCTTGATGATTTTCCGGAATCGAAAAACGTCACGTGATAGTGAGTCTTCAAATTCGTTAAAATTTCAAAATTACGAACGTTTAGTAGAGAATCGATCGAGACTTACGGGCACCATTGTGTCTTTCAATCTGTAGTAGTCTTCGATGTCGGGGTCGTCTTCGACCATTCCCGGCCACCAAGGCAATTTGTAATGTTTAGCGATTACAATGCTTCCTGCATTGTACGAATTTTGGATCAAATAGTCCTCGTCTTCGTCGATGACCTCGTCACGAGCGCAATTGTTGAAGTTTTCATCGGGATTCATGAAGCAATACCACATATCAGGTATGTCTGAGGGAAATTTTCATTACAGTATACTGTTAATCGCTTTTTGTAGATTCCCTTGGAAGTGAATTAGGGCTGGGTTTACCTAAGGGGTCCACGACATCTGGCAAGTATCTGGATTTGTCGCAAATGTCGCATATTACGTACAAACCCACGTTTCTATCTTCGTGTATGCGACACATTTTTTCGTACAATTTCGGCGTTATGTAATTTATGAATCGTTCCTTTACGTTTTCCTGCTCCCGAATTTTCTTAGTTGTCGATCTTGTTTTTATATTTGCCTTCTTTAATTTTATATTCTCTATCGATTCTTGGGAAACTAAACAAGAAAAATGTTTATTATCCAGAGAACCGGCGTATTCAGGAGTTTTTTATAATCAAATGGCTTTGTGACCAACGAATTAATATTTCCGAATTTTTAACATGACAACGTTTTACAATGATGGAACTGTCTAGAACCATTTAGAACGGTCCAGAATCATTTAGGACTCTCTAGAACCATTTAGTACGCTTCAGAATCAATTAGAACTGTCTAGAACGAAAAAAGCTAACCTCATTGTCATCTTGTTTAAGAAAATTCAAATAAGCAATATTGAATCGTTGGTTAGCAAACCATTTGGTTATAAAAAACATCCGAATACGGGGGATAGTCTGACAGAAATCTTACTAAATTGCTCGATATTTTCCGAGACTTCCCGGCATATTTGCCGTATTCTGTTGGAGGCGTTTTCTTTATTTCTTGAATGGCTCCTTGTATTATAAGCCTTCTTCTGCGAGATCGTGCTCTCTTCAGACACCAATTTTTTCATTATCCTGCCGGATATTTCGTACATTTCCAATTTCTCGTCCAAATTCGTTTCAGATGTTAAACGTCGTTTTCTTCCTTTCGGCAATTCATTTTCTTCGTTCAATAATCGCGCTTTTTTCTGTGAAACTAAATAAAATTAAGGATTAATCATCGACTGAAAAACGTTTCGTCATTACACTGAACTTACAGTAATCGTTGATTTCCTGTGAGAGTTTCTGTAAATGTTGCTCCATTTCGTTAGATTTGCTTTGCTTATTTTTCGAAGCTTTATTCGTTGGGGTTTTGCAGGAATTCTTCGACGTACTCGGGCATCGCTGGGATGCCAAATTTCCCGTTGCAGTACCAGATGCATCGTAAACACCTAATTGATCAATAGAACTCGATGCTGTTATCGATGATATCTCTTTCGTTTTCTGTAATTGTTTCTCTTTTTTCTTCTGTTCTCTGCGTTCTTTGTCTCTCAAGTTTCTCTGCGCGTTTTTTGTTTTTTCCTTTGCAACTAAAGCGACATTTTTATTAACAGGAATTGGTTGGGAATGAAACTTACTAAATTCGTCCACTTCTTGCGACAGTTTCCGAAAATGTTGCATCACTTCGACAGTTGAGATTGGAATGCTGAGTTTCGGATGATGAAGTTCCTGTTTCGAATCATCTTTTGAGGCTGATCTACGGGGATTCTCCAAGGAGACGCTAGCCTGAGATGCTAAATTTCTCTTTACCAAATCAGATGCATCGTAAATATCCAATTGTTGGCTCAAACTTGTTTCGTCTGTCGATATTGTCTCGTGAATTTTTTGTTTCTGTAGTAGTTTTTCTTTTTTCTTCTGTTGTCTTCGTTCTTTTTCTCTCAATTTTCTGGCTTTTTCCTTTGCAACTGGAGAAACATAGAATATAAATATTTTTTGTTTCTTAATTTTATTTTTACTGATTAGTCCAAGTACGTTCCTGTATTCTTTGAGTATTTTCAAGGTATTTCAAAATGATTGTTTTAATTTTCTATACAATTGATAATAAATGAGGTTTTTAATTCCTAGGAATAAAGCGAAATATGTTTGTATAATAACTTATACACATTTGCAAAAAATTATTAAAATAAATAAAACGGCCATTTTGTTCTCGGTCATGTTGTTGTTTTGTTACATTTGAACTTACAACTTTTAACTTACATGATTCGTCGATTTCCTGTGTCAACTGCATAAATTTATTATATTCATTTTCCGAAAATGAAAAGTTGCCCAACGTAATTGATTGAGAAGAATCTGATTGTTCTTCTTCCATATACATGATAATTCGTTAATTATTTATAGTAGTTATAGTTTAATTTTTTTCACCTTGCCTTCTATCCTGTCTTACCTTTTCAAATACTCCTTTGATTCAAATGAAATAATGTTTAGCCAATCAAAACGTCTAATGACCACTGCACTAGTCAAGTAAATGTTAAGTTTTTGACACGTTTTAATTTAAAATTAGAACAATCAGTTAAAGTTTTCAATGAATGTATCAATTATCAAAAAGAATTTTAAAATGTATATGGGCTTGATTAATTCAATTTAAAACATTTTTACACAAAAAAGCTTGATATTTTTTTGATATGGTTTTTTTTGACAGTTCGCCATGTTTGCCGGAAACCTAAACCACGGTCTTACATACAGGTCTGGAAACTAGACCCGGGGGGTGTAGATAGTTCACTTAGGGACCGCATATGGCGTAAATAATAAACTCTGTAAAAATTCTTCAATTCTCTAATCTATGGCTGCATCTCCAGCACTATCGCTTCAAATAACGGGACACCACCCTTCGACCGGATTTTCCAGACCTGTATGTAAGACCGTGAACTAAACTCTCATTCAATTTGTCAAAACTTTAATTTCACATCTTTAAAAATAACAATTTCAATTAAGATATATTTATTTTTTCAAAAAATTTTCCCCGAATTTTCCTACTTCACTTTTCACTCCAGTATAGTCGAAGTTGGAGCAACTTCCAGAAACATTTGCAGGAAAACTGTCACTCCATCTGTAAGTAGAAAAGTTAATTAACAAATATAAAATTAATTAGACCGGTAAAATTGGCGCCGCATAAACTTACCCATAAATGGTATCCTCAACTTATAATGCACGAAGGGAACATAAAACACCATCCCTCCAAGAATGAAAAGCGTTGCGTAGAGATACTCGATAGTGGGCTTGTCCACGATGGGGCCTATTATCAGGTACACAGAGATCACTAACACCAGGTATGGAATGATTATGGGCACCTGGAAAATATGAGAATTCGTCGAGGAACTGGCGCAGTTATCGACCGGAAAAAATCTACCTTATAGGGCCTGGGACTGTTGGGTTTCGTTCTCCTCATCACGATCAGAGCCACCATGGCCCCGCCGTAGAAAATCCACGCCGTGAAGCTGAAAAAATCGATCAAAGAATCGATCGTGCCGTACATAACCATTGCTCCGGCGATCAGCGACTGCAAAACGAACCAAACATCTAACTAACCAAACAACGCACCAAGTGGAGACAACTCACGTGGAAAATCAACCCCGGCGACGGCGTGTACCGCCGCACGTGCACGTACGACAAGATGTCCAGCAGATGGCCCTCCCTGGAGGCGGCGAAGCACAACCTTCCGGCGGCGAAGAGCGTGCCGTTGGCGGAGCCGAAGGTGGAGATGGTGACCGAGAGCGGCATCAGCCAGGCGACGGTGCCGAGCACGCGATCGCCGAAGGTGACGGCCACCGCCTCGCTGGTCATCATCTCCATGGGCGACATCACCGTCAGGTAGCTGATGTTGATGAGGGCGTAGCAGACGGTCACCAGCGGGATGCCGATGACGATGCTGCGCGGCAGGTTTCTGCGGACGGTCGAATGGGGGGCAGGAAGAGGCGGTTGTTTGGGTTCGTTAATTACAGATTTCGATGCGGATGATGATGATGATGATGAAGATGAGAATGAACGTGTGAGGATAGCCAATTGTCTTGCCGAGTTTTTATTATTCGATATTGGGTCTTGTATGTATAAGAATTTATAGGTCGATGCAGTTTTCGTAGCCATTTATTTTTGATTGGGTGATTTAGGAGCTCTGTTAAGATGATGGTAGTAGTGATGAGTTTGGTTTCATTCGTCCATTGACTCACCTAGAGGGGTTTTTGATCTCCTCCGTGACGTAGTTCAAATTGTTCCATCCGTCGTAGGCCCAAAGACCGGTGTAGAAAGCGGTGGCTATGTTGCCGATCGAGTATTTGGTGTTTTTGAACGGGTCGATTAAATGCTGGGTGTTGCCTGGAAAAATACATACCTTTATTAATTATAAATTTCGAGAAAATTATAAGTGAGCCATCTCGAGCAACTTCGACGAAAGTTATTCAATGTCGAAAACTGTTCTCGTGTGAAAGTTGCCAGAGGCTCGAAACACATGGGGACGATTACAGGTGTGTATGTACAACATGTTCAAAATTCCCCAAACACAAACAAAAGAAATCAATTTTAATTGCGTCATTTACTACATTCAAACCGGGTCACTTCGATTTGATTCTTTAAATTAATAATTCGGTATTTTTAAAGGACTAAAATTTTGTATCAACCGATATTTTTTAGCATATAAACGATAAGTATATATAAATAATAAATAAAATTAAAAATGGATTTATTCGAAATTTATGTGCTAGATAATATTATCGATTAATTAAAATACCTTGTTAGAAGCTATATGCTTGAAGATAGATTTACTAACATTATTACTCTCTGTATTACAAACTTTATCCAACAACTTTGATTAGAGATATTCTGTTACAAATTATTATTACCCGAACCTTGTAAAGACTAGAGCAAATCCCCATATTGAACAAAAGCTAAAATCATCTCACCTTCTATCATTTTGTACGCTCCCCCCAACACCACGATCAAGACTGCCACCAATTTGGCCGCTGTGAACACATTCTGCACGCTCGTAGCCAAATTCACGCTGTAGCAATTCACGTAGAGAATGACCACTGCAACAACAAAGCCATCAGTCTACGAGCAACGGAGTTTGACCGAGTAAAATCGTACCTAAAGCGAGCAGGGCCACCATCTTGACCACCGAGACGGGCGGCTCGCACTCCCTCACGAAGGCCTCGACCGCGTACTGGCCGAAGCTCAAGCAGATGATGGCCATCTGGGAGGGCTTGAGGACGAGGGTGCTCGCCCAGGAGAAGAGGAATGCTGGCGGGGCGCCGAAGGCGTCCATGAAGTAAGCGTACTCGGCGCCCGATGAGGTGATCATCGTGCCCAGTTCGGCGTACGCTAGGGCTCCTGAAACACATCGAGAAACAAATCGGTATTTTGGAGTAACGAGCGAAGTATTCGGCGACTCACCTAACAAGGATAACAATCCACAGGCCATCCATATGACGAAACTCATCCCGATTGATCCAGTCCTTTCCAGTAGTCCAGACGGAGAGACGAAAATTCCAGATCCTGCGGATATCGCAATAGAGAATGAATCATTTGGTGGTCACCATCTGCAGGGTGGTACTCACCTATCATCGTGCCCACAATTAGAGCCACCCCACTGACGAGTCCCACCCGTCTCTCGAGGTGAACAGCGTCATCCTCAGCTGCGCCCGGCCCCTCCAGCTCGTCCCGCCCCGGCGTCGGCCCTTCGGCGCCCCCCTGGGGCTCCCCTGGCGGGCACCCTCCGTTGGAGAGGCCGCGGCGCCCGCGCCGCTGCAACCTGCCGCCCCCCGAGGACTCGTCGTCGTTGCCTGGCGACAAAGTCAAATTGTATACGGGGTGTCCCAGTATTAAAAAGTACCTACAGAGCTAAATGAGATACTGCTGATTGATTTCTATTTTTAATGGAATGTAGTGGAGATGTGTTATTAATGGTTGGTCTATCATAAATGAGTCAGTATTTGACGTAAATCGAAATACTGCGGTGTTGTCAGGTGGTAATATTTTTGTTAAGTACTTGAGATTTTTAGATAAATAATTTTTCTTAAATGCGACGATAACTCTCAGTGATTCATTGATGTCTAGGTTTTCCTATATTATTATGTAATATAGTTATCTACTGTACATGTTATTTGATTTTAATCTACATTTGTTACAAAATCGTCCACCTGCTACAGGTTTTTCATTTTTCAAATTCCACTGCAGAAGTAAAAAATAATTTCCTTTTGATTAACTTACCGCTCATTAAGTTTACTTGTAACACTAAAATATTACTTTAACAATCGAAAAGTACAAAGTAATCCAACATCCTTTGCAATAATGAGCAGCAATCGTAAAACTATCGGTTATTGGGTATGGGAATAATGAAGATGTAATTGTTTTTCGAGGAATTTGTATATTAATGATGCGTAATAAATCGGCAGTTGAAATAACATAAAAAATGATAATTAAAATTTTCGTTTCGTGTTAAAATTTAAGTACATTACGTTAAAATTTGTAGGTAAAAATTCTATTCGATTCGAATTTTTCTATCGTACAAATTGGAGGAATTGCGACAAACATGTTAATTAATTGTTTCTCCGACATTCACTTGTGTCTAGTTAAAAAAATCGCGATCAATTTGGATTAATTTAGATTAATTAACCGGGAGACTCGATATGTGACGTTAGTCTCGTCTGATTATTGTCAATCGAAGTTTCCCAAGCTCGCCGGTTTTTCGTTCGCACGGTATATTTATTTATACTTTCGTCAAAACAAAAAAAATCACCGCCTACGCCGCTTCTTTCCGATTCGACACATTTCGCACAATCGCAGTTTTTTTTTTTCACTAATTTAGTGTACATATTGCATCACGAAAATCACATGCTCGCGCGTTTTAAATTTAAACGAACATTGCAAACGCTATACCGACCAAAGCGTATGTTCGTGCATACTCTAAATTCATTTGCTTAAGCGTTTTTTCATTTAATTTGCTGCGTGTATTCCAACTAAGACAACAAAACTAAACGGGTAGTTAGTGAGTTATTAACTAATTATCGGTTTTTTATGAGGTATTTTACTCGCCACAATCGCTTTAATAAGTACCTACCGTTAAGTAGAGGATTTTTAGTTGCAATTTGATGCAATTTAAACTTGTTTTAGGATACAGAATATTGGCTCATTCTGAAAGAATTGTCTCAAATGGGCTCAATTTTCTAATTAAAAAAATATTCCTACTCCCCAAACTTGTTGGAAATTTATGATATAAATACTATTTTGATCTTAAACTCAAATAACTTTTTTTTGTACCTACAACTAATTTTAGAACAAACTTTTCACTGAAACTTCGTTTCGTGGGAAGTTCTCGATAAAATTTACCTGTATTCATTCGATCTTTGATTTCTCTAAAACTTAGCAGAGCTTCAGCGAAAGTTTCTCCTATGACCCGCTTGGTTTGAGAGCCACTAAAACTTAATAAATTTTCAATGTACCTGCCAAAGTTGCTTCGAAACTCGTGCGCTGAACAAAAAAGAACTTGTACAGAGTGACCCATAATTACATTTACAAACTTTTATTGGTTTTGGAACACAATCCTTGAATATATACAAATATAAGTTTCTTCGTTGTAGATATACAAGGTGTATAGAAAAATCAGTTTTTTCTTTATAATTGTTTTACTTTTGTATGTGTACTGAGACCAAAAAAATGGGAGACGAGTATATTTAGCATAACGCCCTTATAATAAATTTATCTCAAAACTTCAATAAATTTTTTGGCGCTACCTCTGGTAGATTATATCCAGGCATCTCGTATTTTGTCGAAAATCGAGTGTATTTATTATATTTTCGTCGAAACAATAAATTTCACCGCCTACACAACTTCACTCCTGTAATGATATCTAATTCCAATATACGACATATTTTCCACGTTTTCTTCGCTATCCCTGTTACATCACAAGTGTCACAAGAATCTCGCGTCCACATGCTTTCGATTTCGAATTAATCAAACCAACAAACGAGAATCGGATTCCAATCGAACATGCCCGCTCTCATTCAATACCAATTCGACTCAATCATAACAATAAATAATCGAATATTCGCATATTTTTTCGCAATACGCACACCGCGACTCGAGCCGCTAATAATACAATTCCCAGTCGGCCGAAAAAGGCGAATTTTACGCGACGACGAGATAAAACCAGACGATCAATTAACGGGCCGTTAACTGACCGTTCACGTAGTATTAAATGCGAGTACTTACCGCAAATAATCCGCTTGCTTTTTTGCGTAAATTCATCGCCATACATGTCTCGACAACGCGCGGATAACGTACGATTTCTATCATATCACGTCGATTACTAGACGGGTCTTCTTCGCTGGTTTCGTTGCGCCCGGTCGGGGAGGCGTCGCGACGTCTCCGCGTTGCCGAAACGCCGGCGAGGACGCTCCGAGTAGGCCGGTGTTCGCGCGAGCGCGAGAGAGACGATCGGCGATTTGGCAACAGCTGTCGGTGGTGTGCGAGAGTAGTGTGACAATATTGACGTGTGACATTAATAGAGTTTTGTGTACAGTACAGAAGGAGTGAGTTTTATTTTGAGTTGTTGCTAAAAATAGCTTTAGAGCTATTGTAAACATAACCATAATTGGATGAAATAGGTGTCTGAATAGATTAAACAGCAAAGGCCTTGTTTTGACGTTTTGTGATGTTGACATTTGTAATGACATTACAAGTTGTCATTTTCGTTTTATTTTTTAATTAAAAAAAGTTTTTAAAATTTGCAAATTAGTTAATCTTTATTGCTATTTGGTGAGTATTTTACATTTAATCGTTAGATAAAGCATAATTATTCACTAACACAAACGCTCGTTTTAATTGTTGTTAATTTCTTATTGTCCAATTAATTATAGATTAATGTCCTTTTGCTCCTTTTTAGATCGCGCAATTAAAAAACGTGTCTTGGGATATCGCCAGCTAGTAATAAAAATAATACGAGCATTGTTTACATTCTATTTTGCTGTCTGGAAAAATCTTATCGGCAGATAAAATGAAAATCGACTTGGACACAAATGAGGATCTAACTCAGGTATACAAAAACACGCGATAAGCCTACAGTATTCATTAACACAACGAATTATGCTCCTTATTATTATTTTAGATACTACCGATACAGCAGAAACGAACATTGGCATTCGTAAATCACTTCGTTATGGATACCGTTGCGCATTTAAACGATTTATGCAGCGCTTGCGAATCCCAGCTCATGGAGTTCAATCGAAAAATGGAGAAACTAGAGTCTGCTTTGGTTATTTTAGAATCTCAGGTTAATTTTATATGTCTAATATACACTTAACTTGTAGTAAATGCGGCTTAAAAAGTAATCGTATGCTTCTAAATCAAGTTAATTACTTTTACAGTTGGCTTCGATCAGCAGTTTGGACGATTCCGAGGAAAGTACTAGCAAAAAAGTCGATGCCGTTGAGAATAAACCGGAAGAGGTGGAATTAAACGATGCCAGCGAAAGTATAACTGAACAGGAAGAGGATAGAGATGTCGACGTTAACAGTAATCAAGCCAAAAACGATCCAAGATTGGTAAAGTTTTTCAAAATGCTCCAATTCGGCGTGCCCGAAGATGCCGTCAAGCTAAAAATGCGAACTGAAGGTCTAGATCCATCGTTGTTAGCGTAAGTTTCAAGGTATATTACACTTAAATATTATACTATGAAGTACGAGGGTAGGGTGAAAAGTACTCTTCCTAATATGGCCGAAATCTTGTTTCCCCTTTGGGACATTTATAATTAATTCTAGAACTGCCTAGAATCATTTAGGACTGTCTAGAACTATTTAGAACGCTTCGGGAGCATTCGAAACCGCCTAGAATCACTTACAACCATTTACAACGGTCCAGAATCAATTAGAACCATTTAGAACGCTTCAGAACTTTTCACTTTACCCTTGTACGTGATACTGCAGTGTATTATACTGTTGTTGAATATTAAATGGATTGTTTCAGGGGAAAACCTGACACTTTGCCCGAGGAAAGTTCAACTACGACAGGTGATAACTGATGTGATAATAAAAGTGCAAATATGTATTTTTAAACATGTTTTCTAAATCATTTTATTAGGTTTAATTTGTTCATTTACACTGTTAAGTATAATTGAAAGTATTTTTTTGTTACTCATTATTATTGTATTTCTAATAAAGTCAAAAATATAGACTATTTTGAACAATTAATTCCCTTCCTACAGGATAAATTGATTACCTACACCAAATTATTAATACTTCAAAACTGCCTAGGGTTATCATTTCAACTTCTAATTAATTAATAATTAATAGGCTGTGCGATTACTCGCCTGAAACTAAATAGCTCCTACACAAACAATTCTTGTTTTCCCTAGATTTCTTCCAAACGGTCGATTAAATATGATATTTTCTTCTACTAATTTTCCAATCGTAAAATTTCCGACGCCCTTTAATCTGCGGTTATAAAAATTTTCTATAACCAAGGAAAGAGGGAATAGGAGAATTTCGTAAGGAATTTATGGGGTGGAATTCCGCCAGCGAATTTCGCACATCCACCTACTAAAAACGAGTGAATAGAGCCGAGTTCGCTTAAATTGCATTCCTCACCGCTTTATTGACATTAGCATTTAAGAATCGCCTCTCCCGCTTGTCCCAGTTTACCTCAATTTGCACTTTTTATGGAATATTTAATTGCTGAAAATATTCATCTTCGTACGATTTATTTATAAGCACTTGTTAGTGATTATGTTTTTATTTAAAATGATATATTTTAATATTTATTAAACGATTTGTTGTAGGAATCACAGAATAAGGATAAAAACTTTTCTTCTTAAAATCATCCAAATATTCACATCCTGAAGTATCGGCACTCAATTAATTAACATCCTGTATATTGTGAAGACCACACTGAAAGGGGGGTAATTTATTTTATTGGTAATTTAATAAAGTTTCTAGAAATGTTGTGAAATTAGAGCATTTTCCTGTACTGGAAATTCCTTTGCGCGTCCTCCTTGGAGCGCGAGTGTGCGCCGGGCTTTCCCTATTTAAGGAAAATTCGAAAATTTTCCTCTTAGTGCCGCGCTTTTCCTCGCTAAAGGCATGTTTTCGGTGAGGTGTATCCTTATCAGTGCTCTCCTAACAGGAACCGTTAAAGGTAATAATAATTCAATTAATCGATATAAATTTTTTGGAATATTTCGGAAAACCCCCCAGGCTATGGCAGCAAAATATTCAACGTGAGTTTAAACGGGGACGCATCGATTAATTTGCATTGGTCGATAAATTATGTCGCCGAAACGGTGCGATTCGAGGTTCACCTGCCGTCGAATTTCGGCTGGTTCGGCGTCGGATTTTCCGATCGCGGGGACGCCTTCCCCGCCGACTATTGCCTCCTCTGGAAGGACCTCAAAGGGAAAATCCACATGCAGGTACATCCATATTCCTCTCTTAACCATCCCAACCAACCCGAACATTTTTAAAGGACACCCACGCTTCGGATATCGGAATCTTGCGATTGGACAACCAGCAGGATTGCGACGATTTCAAAATCCATGATAAAACAAGCACGACGAAGTTCACCTTCACCCGCAAATTCGACACTTGCGATAGAAACGATTACATAATCGAGGTATCACCACATCCTATTTGCTAAAGCGCTGTACATTTGCTCATATTTAAATTACTGCAGGGCGGCACCACGCACATCGTCTGGTTTAAAGGCGAGAAAAATCTGTACAAAGCGAACGGCATCAATGTCACCAGCTCGAACAAAAGAGACCACGGCATGGTTAGAGTGGAGTTGTTAAAAAACACCGCTGTTAATCAGGAATTGCCCGACCACGTGAGAACCTTGGATATATTCGCTAACGATACCAAAGTTCCATCGATCGAAACGACCTACTGGTGCACGGTGGTTAAATTACCCGAAGAATTCAAACAGAAGCACCATATTTACAAGGTAATCATACAGAATTTTCTATAAAACGTGACTACTCGTACTGTTATAGTATGAAGCTGTTATTCCCAGCACCAGCCAAGGAGTAGTCCATCACATGGAAGTGTTCCATTGCTTGGCTCCTGCCGAAAAGGAGATTCCCCTTTACACTGGGAATTGTTTCGCGGCGGAAAGACCGCCCGAAACGCAGGTTTGCAAACGGGTTTTGGCCGCTTGGGCGATGGGCGCCCAGCCATTCATTTATCCAGACGTAAGTCTATTAGACTATTAAGCTCGTTCCTAAGGTCGTTATTTGCAGGAAGCTAGCCTCCCGTTCGGCGGAGAAGACTTCAACTCTTTCATCATGCTGGAAGTCCACTATAACAATCCCGAAATACGATCCGGTGGGTAGCGATATAAGTCTGATTGAATCGATTTAATGGAATCTGTTGCAGGTATAATCGATAGCTCGGGAATCAGGCTATACGTGTCGAAAGTGCTGAAACAAATGGACGCGGGAATCATCGAATTAGGTCTGGAATATTCCGACAAAATGGCCATACCGCCTCGTCAAAGTAGATTCTCTTTAAGCGGCTACTGCACGCCCGCTTGCACTTCGATGGTAACTTATTTACTCTCAATTCTATCTACTCTATGTTACAAAATCGATTTATTTGATTCACAGGGTTTGCCCACAGACGGTATAACGGTATTCGGGTCGCAATTACACACCCATTTAACCGGCACCAAAGTAATTACCAGGCACTTCGACGCCCACGGAAGGGAATTGCCCAATCTGAACGTGGATAAACATTACAGCACCCATTTCCAGGAGATTCGCCGGCTGAAAAGGGCCGTGAAAATCCTACCGGTAAGTGCAATATCCGGATAAACCTGCACACAATTTATCTTGCTTTGTTCCACTTTATCTTATTAGTTTCCTCTGGTACCCTGTAGATATTGAATACAAGGGTAAGGTAAGGAGTTCTCGCACTGACAATGAAAGACAATGAAAGAGGCGATTTTCAGTTGAATAATTATATTATTCTTCTTATTAAGTCAAAATTTTTAGTTCTAAACAGTCCCAAATGATTCTAAATGGTTCCAGACAGTTTTAAATGATTCTGGAGCTGTACAGTGTATCAGGCCGAGAACTTTTCACTCTACTCTCGCCTGTGATAGTCTGGTAATTGTCTGTTATTTTGGGACATTTTTAGGGTGAATCCCTCATAACTACGTGCGATTATAACACCGAAAATAGAGAAAACGTAACCCTGGGTGGATTCAGCATATCGGACGAGATGTGCGTGAATTACATACATTATTACCCGAGCAGCGAATTGGAGGTGTGCAAGAGCTCGATCAGCGATCAGGCGTTGAAGACCTTCTTCAGATACATGAACGAGTAAACGAGATGAGTTTTTTGGGAAAACGTAAGTTGAATTTACTCGTTGAATTGCAGGTGGGAAGGACAGCCGACGTCGCCGATGAGCGGCGTCTCGGATAATTACGGAGCGATCGAATGGAATAGAATGAGAGTGCAGTTGTTGGACGAGGTGTACGGCGAGGCGCCGTTGAGCATGCAGTGCAACATGTCGAGCGGCGACAGGTTTCCTGGGTATTGGGAAAACGCCGAGATTCCTGCCGTCGCGACGCCCCTGCCTCCGGCTGCCAGGAAATGCACCACTATTATCAAATAATTCAGTATTTAATCAGAAGTTGATGTGTAATAAAATTCGCTAGTATTCAAGTGAACCTGTTAACGTCCTGGGTGAAAAAAAACCATCCGTAGGTAGTGTTTAATTAAAATTATGAATGATGTATACAGGGTGTTAATTAATTGAGTGGCGATATTATCTGGAGTAATAAGAAAAGTATGATAGAAATATATATTTTTTTACTAAAACTGTAACGTCCCTGTAGCTCGAAAACTAAGAGGTGTAGGACATATATTAATATAAACTTTTCTTCTTAAAATCATCTAAATATTCACATCCTGAAGTATCGGCACTCAATTAATTAACACCCTGTATTTTTCTCCATAAGGAATGATTAATAAGAAGGTACGTATTTGAATATCTTTCTAAAAAAATACTCTTTTTCCAAGGTAAGTAGGAATAAAACCCATTTTATTAATATACTTTATTTCTTTTCTAAACAACTATCTTAATGCAAATTCATTATAAACTGCTTAAAAAAAGAAATACTGCTCTATCATCAGAATTTCATCGTAAAAACCCCTAAATACGAAATAAACTGATTGGCTGCATATTGTATAAAACTCACTAAATATTTTTTATTATTGCCCATATGTATCAGACCGACGTCTCTCGAACGTTGGATGTATAAATGTTTATGTTTCGTTACAATTCTCATTACATTTGTATTGTTTCAACTACCAAAAGCCACATACTCATTACGAATTCTATAATATGTTCTTCTGCTAATCGAATAGTCTACAATGCGACATCAACGAATTAACCAAACGGTTAGAAACCCAAAGATAACGTTACACGATTCGTAAAAAAAATTAAATATCTAACAACGCTAACTTTAATATCTTTAAATATATCACCATTTACGTTTGATAATTTCGATATACATACTTACAATATGTAAACTTTCCTAAACTATGTTTTGTAGACGAATAACCAGTAAGCGATGAGTTTTATTGGAGATTACATAGCTTAAGAAAACGCCCATATTGCTTTATATAAGTTAAACAAAAACTCAAAATTCGCAAGAATATTTAGTAGAAATATCATTGCATTAATAACAATAACTTCGTTATTTTTTAACAAGTTATAGACGACTTTACATCGACTCCATCTGCTCGGTTAATTCTAATATTGGACTTTCGCGTAGTGGCAGTAATGGAGGCCAAACTGCTGAAAGATTGGAAGTGAATTGGGATCCCTGCAAAAGAAGAAACGGGCTTGTAACGATTAATAATTTATGCTAATGGAAATTAGCACATGCACAATCTTAAAAATAAAAATGCCAGACGTATCTGTGTAAATTATTTATTAAAATTAACAAAACTTACAACGATATCGCCTAAAAAATTATTAGCAAAAATAAATAAAAAAAACAGTTTTGACACTATAAGACTAGTCAATAATACTTTTCTGTAGAATATGTGGAATGCAAGTATACAATAGACATGCTTAAAAAGATATAAAATAAGCACAAAAAAATAAAATGAACGAATACAAACTCTAACTCCAATAAAACATTATTAATAAAACCCTCACAGGGACTTCAATGTGAAAGTGCTGCCGCTAATATACTTAAAACGAACAAATAAAACGCTAATTAATCTAATTTTAACCTCTAACTAAAGCAAAACCACACTTCTGGATAACTAACGAAAGCCGCTCCGTACTGATAATAATGCCTATAAAACTAAGCACTAAACAAAATGCCGGTCTGCCACTACAAACGCTGCGATACCTGATTCCACGTGGCGTTCGTATTTTGCCAAGACGGCGTCGGCAGTGACGATTCGGCTATTTGACAATTAGGAACGTTCCAGGTCTCTCCGGATCCTTCCACCAGAGCTTGGAAGGCCATCAGGTCTTTACCTAAACAAACCTCTTCATTAAACCACAACGATAACCGACCAGTAAGCTACCACGCGGCTGAAACCGGCGTGCTAAAATGTCTACTAACTTTCGCTTTCCGATAGCGGTAGCGGCGGCAAAACCGGCTGTTGCTGGGCGATCTTGTAGCTGGCCTGGCGCAGCATCTGCCTCCTCGACAATGAATGGGTGGTTTCCAAATTCGCCACCGGATTAGACTGGTGGGACATGGCGCATTGCTTCTGCAGTATCTGACGTTTCTGTTGCAATAGCCTGCAGACGATTAACAGTGGCATTCACGGTACGCGTTTAATCGCTAGTACTCACCTGTGCTGCATGGCAGTTTGTAATTGAACGTTGGTATCCACTACCGACGGGTTGGTGTAGTTGAAATTATCCGGCAAACTGATCCGTTTGCTGGGTCTCGGTTGCAGGAACTGGCTTTGCCTGGACGACACCTCGTCGGGAGCTTCTCGTATTGGATACTTGGGCGTTTGCAGTCTTTGTGTTTCTCTTTGAACCATATGCATATCTAAAACACCTAAAGAAACTCCAATTGAAGGCGTGTAAATGGTTTGGTGAGCGTTTATACCTTTAGCTTTCCTTTTTTCGGTGAATTTCTGCGAATTGAAAGCGACCACCCGGCCGGAATCGGCGACCTGCTGGGCCACCAGCCCGTCGCTGGCCCTGCGGCCCTCGCGGAAATCCACCGGCGACCGGGCGGCGCCGCGGGCGCTCTGGTAGCCGGACGGCGCCGCCGGATCGTACTGCTGGAGCGGCGAGCCGCGCGCGTACCGCGCCGCCAGCGCGTTGACGGACGCCGCGACGGGCTCGGGCGGCTCGCCGGCGGCGCTCGTGCAGCTCGGCAGGCTGCTGGCCAGCTCGCTCGACTCGCTCAGCGGGTACTCCAAGCTGGCGAAGTTGCTGTCGCAGCTCAGGTTCTGGCTGAGGCTCTTCGACGCGTTGAAGTTGGTCATGACGCCGCTGCTGGAGTTCGACGAGGTGTAGCTGAAGCGCGGCGCGTTGTCCTCCAGGTCGGTCTCGACGCCCTCGTCGGTCGAGCTGGAGTACTGCGTGTGGATCTCGGCGCTTTTGTAGCTACAAATCGATGTCGCGTTAGAAATCGATGCGCGTTAGTGTTACTAAAGCGGGTCGTACTTGGTGGAGAACCTTCCCGAATCGGTGGCGTCGAAGGCGGGCAGGCAGCCGCCGCCGGGTAGGTACGACAGCTGCGGGTTGTATTCCTTGAAAATCGCCGAGTCCATCGACGGGGGCGGCACGGCGGACATTTGCAGCGTGGACATGAGCTTGGTGGCCTCGGTGCACATGTTGAACGTCGCCTTCGTGCTGGCCTGGTTCAGGATCTTCAGCGCCTCCTCGCTGTTGGTGGCGGCCAGTAACTTGGCGGCGTCGATGCCGTGCGTCGACGGCGGCGAGTCGCACGTTCTGGCCGCCTTCGTGCATATCTTGCTGTTGCTGGCCGTCGGCGCTGCGCCGGAATTGTGCAACAACCTGCAGCAAAAAATTCCATCTAAAATGGTGCTATGTAAAGGGGAATTTGTAGTACCTTCGACAGTCCTCGGTGGTGCTGGCTCGGCATATCTTCCTCATGGCCTGCTCGGCTACGTTCGACGGCCTTCGCCTTTGCGCCTCTCTAGCTCCCGTTTGGTTCTCGCCGCCCATCAGCTGGCTTCTCAGCTTGTCCAACAGAAGGTAGTAGATGGCGGCGTGGTGATCGTAACTGCCCAGTCGAATCGACTGAAAAATTCGTCAGTTGAAATTGTTTGGGATGTACCAAGCGGTGAGATCTCACCTCTCTAGTTTTAACACCGTCTATACCGAGACTCTGCATCAGCCTTAGAATTTGCTCGTTCGGTTGGGCGTTCGACGTGTTAACGGGTCGCGGTTGATTGGCCGGTGCGCCGATTTGCATCCACCGGTGCTTTTTTATCTGCGGTATGCTGTACCTCTTGTTCGGCTCCAAGACGAGCATTTTTCTTATTAGAGATTCGCAGTCTGTAAAACGCGAATTTCATATAGTTTTTACGGGTGGTTTTCTCAGAAAATTCACATTTTATTGGAGATTTTCTTAGAAATTCGTAGACTTTGTGGGTGGTTTTCTTATAGGATATATTCAGCGTGTAAATCGAGGAATCCGTAGCCTCGGGGGTGGGTTTCGCGTGACGCAATCGTGACGTCAAAGGGGTGAACGCGCCGCCACCGCCGCCCCCTCGAAAGGAGGGATGGAGCGTTTGGAAAACTTTTCGGCGAGATTGGAATATTTGGAAGGGCTCGGACCGGATGCGACGCGAAAGAGGCATGATTGAGGTTGGAGGGATTATCGAAGGGGCGAACGAGGGAATTTCGCTTTAATATAACATTTTCCAGTCGAAGAGGAAACGGATTAATAGTATATTAGTGGAGTTGATTGAAAGCGTTATGGGATGCGCGAGGATGCTGGAGTTTTGCACCAGGAAAGAGAGTTTATTTAGTGATTTAGAAATAAAAAATAAATCATTAGTCGCACTCCTCTCCTTTGATGAAAAAAAAAACTAGTTTATTACCGACGTCATGCTAATTTGCTAAACTTATCGATTTGCTGTTAAAAAAAAGCAGACATTTCTATACATAATATATTAGTTTTGTTATTAGTTTTCGTTCACCTTTTTTTTAACGACAATTAAAAATGATTGCTCGCGTTTGCGTCATTTTTGAAATGCGAAATTCACACAAACTATCCGTTCGTGCAATATAATCGTTAATTTTTCTACATTTACGCATTCAAATGTATTCAAATATGTGTCGAGCATTAACGGAGTTTATCCAGTGCGTTGACTCGCTAACACAACACTTTATTATGACGCAAAACGCGAATTACCTGCGGAGAAAAACATTTCCCGGCGATATTTACCCAAAAAATTATTTTCGACGCTTTATCTATATTTTCCCAATAAAACGGTTATTTATGGCATGTGAAAATAAATTCATCCAGAAATATCGCTTTTGCGTCATATACAGATTATAATATAGTAGCGACATGGAATCGGCGCGTTTTTCTAACTCCGTGCAAAAATTTTCGGCTTTTCCGAATTATAATTAGAACTACAAATCGCGATTTGTATACCGTCTACTCGAGATTTATTCAAGTTCGTATGTATAAAGGAATTTTTAATTATTTCAGGATTTACCTCTATTAGATAAAGTGTTAAATTGCTCACCTGAACTCATGAAGTAAGGAATTCTAAATCTCCCCGACAGCACCCTATCCCGTAGGGCCTGAAGGGAACATCCGTCAAAGGGTAGAGCTCCGCATACTAAAACGTACAGGACCACTCCCAAGCTCTAAAAAAAAAACTCTTTTACAAAACATACCAGGGCGATTGAGTAAAAAGTGCTTAAAAACTTCACGTTAAACCATTCTAAAAGTTTGACCGTCGTGACGTCAACGCTGGTTTAATATGAACGCACTATATGAATAATTTATTTATAACGGAAAAGGGATGTTTTTTTTACCCATATATCAATTTCCGGGCCGACGTATTTCTTGCCTTCGAACACCTCGGGAGCGGCGTAGGGCGGCGAGCCGCACCACGTGGATAATTGACCGCCCACCGTGTAGTAATTCGAAAATCCGAAATCCGCTATTTTAATATTATTGTTAGAATCTAGTAAAAGATTTTCAGCCTGAAACCAACGAAGGAACGTTAGAAAATCGACGATGAAATCGCGACGTTTACGATCACCTTTAAATCTCTATGAACTATATTACGATTATGGCAGTACTCGACAGCTGATATAATTTGCCAGAACTTGCTCCTCGATTGATCCTCCGACATTCTGCCGTACCTCGCTATGTAATCTGCAACCAAATCATTTTATTATCTACCAATATTTATCCTTCTTTTTCTTCATTAGATACATAATCCCACAATTGTACATCCAACCTGGATTGGTTTTGTGCTTCTTTTTGTATATCGATTATCCAACATAAACCTATTAGAATGGGAATGAAGTATGTAAAGTGGCCGAAACGACGTCGACGTCGCTCCTACGCATAACCTTGACGCTCTGACGTCACGGGACGTCGGGTAAGTACGTCAGAAAACCGGGATAATACGCATTAGAGAGGCGAATCCGGAGACATTGAAATTCGATCGAGGATTCTTGCGAATTTTTCGTTTAAAAAAACTAGACATTGTGAGGGAAATTGGCTCCTGCAATGTCTGCTAGTATCGGGAAATTTTCCTATAAAATACTCACCAAAAATTTCTCCTTGACTGGCGTATTCAGACACCAAGTAGATCATGTTTTTGGTTTCCATTACCTGAAATGTAGAAGTATTGCTAAAATATTACATTACATCGGATTATTTTTTACACAACAAACATATTTTTATAAAATAATTACATCATTTACAACACCCTGTAATCGTGATTTTTATGAGTAAGGAGAAACATTATGTTTCTTTCTTTTATCGAAGAAATGTAACGCAATTTGTACGAGCTAAAAATGTACCTATTAGATATTTCCAGCGAAATTTAAATAGACTTTTATCGTGTACAACGTTATTTTCGGCTTTTATCGAAAAATTTCTAATGGAATTTTTAGACGATTCGAGTATATTCCGTATAAACGCGCGTACACACACGGACACCCATGCTCTAAGAGCGTGTATGCGAAATTTTTATGGTAAAGAAAGTTGTATGACGTTTGTAATAAACGTCCTTCGTCGTCTAATCGATAAAACATCCAAGAAATAAAAATACAGATAATCACTATCTATTATATTTATATTTATTCTTAATTACAATTACGCAAACTCGTTATTTTGCGGAAATCTGGGATACCAGGAAAGCGCTTTGTTCGAATCTCCATTAGCACCTTAATTGATTGACGCAAATCTTTTGTAACCGAATCCAAACAACACACCTAAATTGCATGGTAGCTTGATAAATTATTTACTCGACCCAGCAACAACAAACAGTACGGGGAAATTTTTCTACGACGACCGCAAAATTATTTATTACGGGCGTCTCGTCGCCTCGCCGGTTGCCCTTCGGCGCGTCCTGTAGCGCGCCTTCGCGGATTTATTTAATTTTCAGCGAAAAACACGCTGGAAATTCGAAATTCGAACGGGAGTACAACTCACAACTCGTCTGACGGTGCAGTTGCCAAGCGACGATGACGTCGCTCGCTAGGCGTCGCCGCAGATCGGCGTCGCGGCGTCAGGGGCAGTCAAGTTGAAGGTGGTGTTAACGAACTCCCGGGAATATCGGGTTTTGACTGGTACATTTTTTTATTGGGTCTCCGGAAACGGGGGTTTTTCTCCGATTAAATGCATTTTTGCATATAAATATTGTCGATTATACAAGGTGATTTATAAGCGCCATAATTCCTCGAGTATCTTCTCGTTAATTAATAATTATTTAATACAAAAGAAGATGCGAATACATACCTGGTAGAGCTTGATAATGTGAGGATGGTCTAATCTCTTCATGATATCGACTTCCCTATAGACTTTCTGCAGGTTACCGGCATCTAACTGGCTCTTATCGATTATTTTGATAGCCACCTGTAAGAGATAAAAAACAAATCTTATAAAAAAAGTCCATTAGGTGCATACTCTCGCTGTAATAACATCTATTATTGCATACACTGTGGTTGGTAAAATCGAGGAAATTTCATCTAATTTTCTTGTTCAGGGAATTGTGTAAGGAGCTTATACGAAGCAGCGTGACGTAATAAGTTTAATTAACTAGGATAATATAAATTTTATTGTTTTCGAGAAATTGAAAATGTAGGCCTTTGAATTGCGGGGAATTATCGAATTTAATGACGTATGCAACGGAAGAAAAAAAACCGTACGGAACGGGCATTATTAACTCTCACTATAAGCGATTTATTGCATTAGTGTTGCGAAACTTTACTTTCACCTAGTCGCGATAATTTCCCGGGAGTTTTGGGGACTTTCAGTAATCCGTTTTCCATCGATTCATCTCGCCTTTAAACCGGTAAAAAACTCGTTTGTATTGAACACTTTTTACGAACGTTAATTATTGCGTTGTTATGCCGATTTTTTCGGATAAAAAAAATTAATTGCCTGACGTATCCGAAACGCTGGATTTTTTTCCCGGCAATTTCGGAATTTTTCCTCGATTAAAACTTCCATTTACATGCATCGCAAATTTGCATAATATAATCTCGCAATGTAACAAATAGGATGTGCAATAAAACGCCGATATTCTTATTGCGATAATCGCAAGTAATTGCAGGTCCGGGTGTGCACTAAAAATAGCCGCAAAACAAAAGAAAGTAAGCAAATGACAAGTGAACAGGTTCACCGTTAATCTATGAACACGAAACAAATGAATGGACGCACAGCTTACTTGCGTCACACTGACGTCAAATTTAATAAAAGGTCATTAAGTGTTATGTGTGTTAGGCGAAATTATGCGTTTCATCCGATGAGATGATCGGTTTTTTTTTTCTCTTTCCCGTCGCCGGACGATATTGTTTTAATCGATCAGAACGGTATGGATTCCGGGAAACTCCTTCGCAATGCATAATTAATTTTGTTGTGAGTAATTGAGCGTAGTTCGAAATTTTTTATCAACAACGTACACTATTTCTAGTCATAATTCGACATGGCATAAAAAACGCCTAGCGCCGACTTCAAAGGTACCGGTGCACATGGACGTACCGTTTTTAGTATCAAAATTAAATAGATTAAATTATTAATTGGGTAATATTTAATCTACTCACTTTGTCAGTGAAATTTTATGTCAAATAAATTTTATAAGTTAAAATTAATAATTTTAAAAACAAGTAAAGTTTAACCAAGGCTTTGAGAAATCGCGAAAAATTTTCAGACCGCGCGAGCCACTGATCTAAGACAAACAAACTGAAGAGCGACATTAATTAGATGAATATTTGGTGATTTACGACCGCGAGCCAGCTGCCGGTCCGAAATCGCGTGATCGCACAGTTGTAGAATTAATATCAACTATTGGTGAGTTGATGTTTAAAACTTAAGTGGGCCACATCAGCGCGGCTGAGCGGCTATACCGGGGCGATTCGCGCTTATTGGCAACGCGAGAGTATGGAATTCGTAGCATTCTCGGCGCTTATAACGCGATTTATTTCGCGTCCCCGGTACAACGGTCCAAATCGGATTAATATTAGAATCACTATACACACGTTACAATCAATATCTAATTTAATATGACGCAAAATGTACAGACTACCTTGATACGAATCTGTAAATATTTGAGGACGAATTCGCGACCGCGAGAGAATAATTCAATAGAAATGGATTAATCAATTTTTAAACCGACCACTTACGGATAACGTTTTTTAAACAATCTATTATTAATACAGCAATTATAGGCATTCGTATTTGCGAAGAACTACTCCACGTTAGTACTTGAAAGTGATCAAAAATTAGGTCAAAAAATTAATGTGGTGCGATGTGTGATAAGAATCAAGTGATCCACTTGAACTTGAAACTAAACGTACTTTGTTCGTATTTCAATTTCCTTGTAATGCAGGTATTCAAGCATCACAATGAAAGTGCAAAAAGTCAAAATTGGCACACGTAATAAGTGATTAAATAAATAATAAATAGCGAGAGAAATTCGATAAATAGATACACAAAGCAGAGCTTCAATTTTTGAACCAAGGAAATAGGAAGAGTCAACCGAGCGAGTGATAAATAAATGATCAATAAATGATGAGAGACGCTCGACAAATGCTAGAGGAATGTCCCCCCTATAGAACAATCACCCTATTTTATTTAATTTTATTCAGAAGAGGCTAAGAAATTAGAAGCAAAATTTAGGAGCGAGTTAATGGGAGTTTAATGGATAAACGAAGATGCGCGATTAGAGACCAGTGACCCAAGATATGAGGAAATGGAAATAAGATATAATATGTGCAGAGGAAAATAATTAAAGTAAGTATATACGCGGTGGAAATCCCAATAAATGAATGATGAGATATTGGTTTGTGGTAATCAAATAACGCAACAATCGATATTTTTAAACCAAGCAACCAGTAGATGGAAGAAATTATAATATAAATGTGGTATTTGTACGTTACCTCAGTTTTGGTGATTCGATGTTTGGCGAGTTTCACCACGGCGAAATTCCCTTTGCCGATGGTCCTTTCGATGTCGTAGAAACCGACCCTGATGGGATTCTTTGCTATCCGCTCGCGTTCGCCCATTGTCCCTCGGCCTTATGACTAAAACTCGACGCGAAATCGCCGCTGCGGCGCCCGTCTACGTGCGAAATGCCGAAAATGTTGCTAAATTCGCTGTATCTATTGTCATCATTGGGGAAGGCGGCAGGCCAGAGGCACCCAGCGCGGATTTATCAGACACCGCGGAATCCGAGCAGCGACTGTCAGCTGTTTCGACGCTCTCGCTATCTAGCGTGCGCCGATTTTTCGTATTCCCGAGCACGTTTGACGTAGGAAACTGAAGCACGCACGCACGCTGGCCGGGATTTTCGTAACGGGGGATTAATTTTTTTGTTTTTTTTTTTTTTTCAAAGTGCTATCGTTTTACTTGCGATAATGGTTATCGCGATTATTACCTCCTCTACTTTCGTATCGATTTTGCTTATCTACGCTCGAAATTAGGGTGTGTACTACTAATCGGTGCATATTCCATAAGCATTGGTTGATTATTTTTAGTTTTTTTTTCGAATTTCTTCATATTTCACGATTTTTCTTCCGGGACGTTTTGGGTTGGTAACGTCAACACTGTCTATTTGACATTAATAATTTTATTTTTTCTTACTGCCGGGGCAAGTAGCGTTAATTACAGTTGTTATGTACCACCATACGTAAACTATTAAATTCGCATCTGCAGAAATAATTATTTTATCCCACAACTACAGAATCAATTTATATTTAAATTTGCGTAATATGTGTTGCCTAACTACTAGAATTGCATCAACAATTTTCAAATTTGACATTAATGACACTTGACATACACGTCAAAAAATTGTTTACTTTTTAGATTTTTTCTAAATTATTCACAATTTATCTAAATTTACAAGGAGATTTAGCGTAACACGCACGGTGCTCATATATTCCACGCGCACCAGCATAAAATAAACCACCGGTCGGACTCTAACACAAATTACAACGTTTCCTGAAGAAGTTATTGTGGGTGTCAAATGTGCTTGATGATGTGGAAGTCAATGAAATTGGACCACATCAGCCAATAAATTCGAGCCACGCGGCCGTGCGTTTGAACATCTATTTCAGTTAGCAAAGTAGGACGTTTTAGTCGCTATCGTAGTGTCGTTTCGAGCAAAACTCCACCGAAAAAATGCGCTACTTGTTGGTTTTTAGTGCAATTACCGCGGTATTAGCCAACGATGCCTCGCACGAAAATCGAGTGTTCAATAAAGAACTGAGCGATAAGGAACATTTCGAAAACGAACACCACAATCCCGAGTACGATCACGAGGCTTTTCTGGGCCCAAAAGATGCGAAAACATTCGACCAGTTACCGCCCGAGGAGAGCAAACGAAGACTCGGGTATGTATTATTATCCTATCGTATCTATTATGTAATTCAATTCGTATTTTCTAGAGTGATTTTCGATAAAATTGACTCGAACAACGACGGTTTCATCAACCGCGAAGAGTTGAAAGATTGGATTAGATTCACTCAAAAACGGTACATATCGGAAGATGTAGATAGGCAGTGGAGGCAGCAAAATCCCGATGATAATCCTACGCTCACTTGGGAGAAATACCAGAAATTGGTGTATGGTTTTCTGGACAACATGGACCAAGCCGAGCTCGAAAAAGAAACCGAAGGTTACATTCGAACGATTGCTAAATTATCGAGTCAATTAAATAATTTCTTTATGTAGGATTTTCATATCAGAACATGATGAAGCGGGACAAAAGGCGCTGGGCTACAGCCGATCGAAACGACGACGAAGCCCTCACGAAAGAAGAATACTCTGCATTCCTACACCCCGAAGAAAACGACTACATGCGCGATCTAGTCGTCCTAGAAACCATGGAGGACATCGACAAAGACAAAGACGGTAAAATATCCTTGCAGGAATACATCGGAGACATGTACAGGTGCGTAATTAGCGCAAATAAATCCATCGATGATGCATCGAGTACCGTTTTTCCAGGGGCGACGAGAACGAGGAGGAGCCGGATTGGGTGAAGAGCGAGCGCGAGCAGTTCAACACCTACCGAGACAAGGACGGCGACGGTTTCATGGACGAGGAGGAGGTGAAGAACTGGATCATACCGCAGGACTTCGATCACGCCGAGGCCGAGGCGCGGCATTTGATCTACGAGGCGGATTCGGACGCCGACGAGCGGCTCGCCAAAGACGAAGTGTTGGGTAAATACGATCTGTTCGTCGGTTCGCAGGCCACCGATTTCGGGGAGGCTCTGGCCCGGCACGATGAGTTTTAAATGCCAAATCCTTCGCGCTGTTATTGGATACTCGATAGGCTAGGAGGCGAGAAGGTTTCGTTTTTTTCTATTCGATTTTTTGCCCCCCCAGGGAATCCGATGGCGTTTATGTTTCCTATAAGTACGAGGGTAGGGTGAAAAGTTCTCGGTCTGATATAATGAAGGCGCTCCTATTAGCAATAAAATTCGTTTCCTATTTGGGACGTTTATAATTAATTTAAGAACTGTCTAGTCTAGAACCATTTAGAACGCTCCAGAATCAATTAGAACGCTCCAGAAGCATTTAAAACGCTCCAGAATCATTTAGAATTGTCTAGAACCATTTAGAATGCTCCAGAAACATTTGGAACTGACTAGATCCATTTAGAACTAAAGATTTTGACTTAATAATAAGAATAATATAATTTTTCTACTAAAAATCGCGGTCTTTCATTGTCAGGCCGGGAACTTTTCACCTCACCCTTGTATGTGCAATAATTTGATTTAGTTGTAATTTTTTTAATTGAGTAACATATCTACTGTGAAATTGAATCTCGGATTGTTTGTAAAACGATATTATTGCTAAATTACTAATCGAACAAACTCGGTGATTAATTTAATTTTAAGGCAGAAATTATTTTTTGAATGAGACCTTTTTACTTATGTTCATGTTTAAGCCAAAAAAAGAGGTAGTTAATTTTTGTTTATCTACTTAAGTATTTAAAAAGAGCATTTATTAAATAATTTTAACTAGAATTAAAATTGCCTATTAATCTATTGGGCAATTTTATTCGCATTTAATATAATATAGTACGTAAGGTGAAATTGAAAGTTTTTAGCTAATTTTTGATATCAATATATTATAATTGATGTGCCATTTTACCTAATAGGATTTTTACGGACGTTATTTTTAATAAAACTGTTTCTGCTAAAAAACAGGATAAAAATTGCATTTTATTGTTATTAATCCAATCGAATCAAGGCATCTCCACGTTAGTTGTACGATTTGCCCCAAACGAGACATTCGAATTCCATAATTTATTATTAAATCGTGGGTTTTCGACCTGCTAAGTTAGAGACCCCATCACAAAAAATACTTTTGTACTATGAAGTTAGTCACAGAGTGTAATAATTACATCCGAAAAAAAAAGTAGAAATTTGAAGGTTATGACAGCTGTCATTTTTTATTGTTAATAAATTTTGAATCTCCAAGTCTCCAATATAACGCAACATGACGACAGAATCAGGAGAAGTTAAAATCTCGAATATAGTCAAGGAAAGAATCGAAAGAAATCGCCAGAAAGCGATAATACTCCAAAGAAGCAAGCTAACTTCGCATCCTTACCATAACAACAAAGATGCAACAACAACCACCCTTAAAATAGGAGGCACCACTTACAAAGACACCGGCGGCGGGTTTTTGCTCGAAGAAACCGAGGAGCCCGACGAGTTGGAGCAAATACTAGCCGAACAGGAGCTGATCATCGAGAATCGCCCGGTTTGCGAGCTCTGCACGAAACCCTTCGGCGTCTCGTGGCTCTACGAAAAATTCGAATACAAATGCTGCGACAGCTGCCGCAACCCCGAAATCCACAAACTGATTGCTAAAACGGAGGCGAAAGACGCCTATTTGCTGAAAGACTGCGACATGGACAAGCGCGAGCCCCCGCTGAAGTTCGTCACGCAGAAGAATCCGCACAACGCGCATTGGGGCGACATGAAGCTCTACCTGCTGCCGCAGGTGGAGCAGCGCGCCCTCGAGGTGTGGGGCACCGAGGAGAACATCGAAAAGGAGCGGGAACTTCGCGAGGAAAAGCGCGTGATGGCCAAGAGCAGGAAGTACGAGAAGCAGCTGAAGGAGCTGCGGAAAGGCATGCGGAGCAGCCTGTACGACAGGACCAAGAAGGCTTCGCATACGCACGAATTCGGAGAAGAAACTTACAATGAAGACGATGATACTTATTATAGGAAATGCACTACTTGTCCTTATGAAGAGACTTTCGAAAAGATGTAGTACTTTTAATTTTCAAGGCAGGTTTGTTTGTTTTAGAGATGCTTTACCATTGTAAATTTTGAATACTCTACTTTTTTTTACACTAACTTATTACTTTCAATGTACTTTGTAATTATTAAAATTTATTTTATTTATTTAAATTTCTATCATTTGAAATAGCATTTTCGAGGGTAGGGTGAAATGTTCTCGGCTTGATGCACTGATGGATTTCAATTTAAATCTAGGTTCCAGAATCTATTGGAATTGTTTAGAACGCTCCAGAATCATTTAAAACTGTCTAGAACCATTTAGAACCCTTCATAATCATTGAGAATGCTCAAATGAAAAAAGAACATACAAAATTACTTGGAACCATTTAGAACTGTCTTGAACTAAAGATTTTGACTTATCGCGGCCTACAATTGTTAGGCCGTGAACTTCTCGCCTTACCCTTGTATTTAAAAGACCTTCACCGCTGGAAAATCGATTATTTGGGTATATTGGGTACATTTACTCATCATAAATAAAACGAAAACTTTAAAGAAATTTTTGTTTTAATAGCTAAAGTACCATTTTCAATCGAATTCACTTAACTTCCTTGACTTGGAGACCTGAAATCATTTGTGAATTATAAATTTGTTATAGATTAATTTATTTGTATAGTTTCTACCTGGTGGAAGAGATTGCTTTAATTTCTCCGCCTTTTCCTTGTCTGTAATCACTAAAGTGTAGAGGAATCTCGAGCAACGTACTTTGAATTTGGTGTTCTCGGTGTTCTTCTTTATTTTAACAGCTGAAAATTTTCATAACTATAGATTCATGTAAATTATATGGAAAGAAACTTACATTTGGCATCTTTCCTTCTGGCCGTAAGGAGGAATTCCTTAATTTCCGTTAATTCTCGGGGCTGCGATAAAGAACGAGCTGTTATATTGTAACTTTACGCTATAAAAATTTGCTCACCATTTTAACAATGTCAAACTTTAAAAATAACCGTCCTAATTAATCCTTGGGCGTACTGAACGTCGATTTCAGCTAAATGCAGTAAATATTTACTGCAAAATTAAAGGATGTTCGAGGATTTCCGATTTAAAATCAGAAACACCACTACTTTTTCAAGTAGGACATAAACAAGAGGAGACTGTCAAAGTTGTCAACGATCAGATGTCACATTTAATTCTTCTTTTTTTACCGAAACATATGGAATAATAAAAACAGTAAAGGCCAAATTATTTCAAAATGGATGTTTGTGCTGAATGACAGTGACAGTTGGTGAGGTTAGAAAACTAAAGCGAAGGAGTTGTTGGGCTTGTTAGTATCAGAAATATTCAATTAAATATCAGAATTGGTTGAATATTTGCGTGAAAATGGATTTTCAAAACCGACCCGGTGGGAAAACGGGCGGAGGCGGCGTCGCCTCCTGGTCGGAAACCAACCGAGACCGAAGAGAACGACTGAGGCAACTGGCCTTAGAAACCATCGATCTGCAGAAGGACCCGTATTTTATGAAAAATCACCTGGGGTCTTACGAATGTAAGCTTTGCTTGACCCTACACAACAACGAGGGGAGCTACTTGGCGCATACACAAGGTAAAAAGCACCAAGCCAATTTGGCCAGGAGGGCAGCCAAGGAAGCCAAAGATGCTCCCACGTCGCTGCAACCGGAGAAGCCCCGAGTGGAGCCCAAGAAGTTCGTGAAAATCGGTAGACCCGGTTATCGGGTGACTAAACAGAGAGATCCAGAAACCGGTCAACAGAGTTTACTGTTCCAAATCGATTATCCAGGTATTGTATATTCGATAAACAGTACCCTTACGTAGGAAATTAATTAAATGTTTAATTTGTAGAAATAAGCGACCTGGTTTTGCCCCGACACCGCTTCATGTCTGCATACGAGCAAAAAATCGAGCCCCCAGACCGTAAATGGCAGTACTTACTGTTCGCTGCGGAACCGTACGAAACCATTGCCTTTAAAGTACCGAGCAGAGAAGTCGAGAAAACGGATAATAAGTTCTGGACACACTGGAACAGGGACACCAAACAATTTTTCCTGCAATTCGCTTTCAAGAACGAGAACAAGCGCTCCGTTAACTCTGTAATTCAAAGGCATTCGATTGTTGGCGGAGTTCCACCGCCTCCCATGCTGCCGGTACCGCCGCCGCCCAGGCCTCCTATGTTTAATCCAATCCCACCGCCACCGCCGATGATGAGGGCCGTTTTGCCAGTACCGCCTCCGAATTAATTTTAATCATAAAACATGTCATTTTTATAATAATTGCATACTAAATGAAGAAATGAGTTCATATTGTTTAGTTTTACTGTCCATTTGTCCATTTAAATAGTTTTATTCCTGATAAGAGCACATTTGATAAATAAATGGAAATCAAGTATACTGAAGTCCCAAGTTGTTAAAGGCCAGGGATTATCTTTTACACAAAAGGTAATGACGTTGACAGGTGTCAATCTCAAACAAGCTTTAAAAATCATTATGGCGGATTTTAAAAATAGTGATTCATGTGAAGAAATAATGCCGAAAAAAACTGACCCGGAAAACAAACCGAACTTACAAGATGAGGACAGCGAAAGCGCCGAAGAACAACCTCTCGATATCGGCGAACATTATTTATGCAGACGTTCCGACGATACCTGGCGTAAGTTGTTTGTTAAATGCCGTACATAACCCCACTTTTTATAACAACAAAATTTTCAAAACACCCAAATTATTTTCAACATTTCAATTTCACGCTTAATTGTAGATCCCGCAGAAATTATACAATCGCGATATAACGACTTGGAGCGCCAGTACGAATACTATGTACATTACGAGGGCTACAACAGAAGACTGGACGAATGGGTTCCAAGAGGTCGAATAATGTCGTCCAGGTTTAACCTGACGGAATGCGGCCAAAAGGCCCCGTTCGACGTGAAAGTATGGAGAGACCGGCCCGTCATAACGAACCTGCTATCGGATAACTCCGACAGGAAGATAACTCGCAACCAGAAGAGGCGACATGATGAAATCAACCACATACAAAAAACGTACTAATTAAATAATAACCTCTATTCTATTCTAATATCGTGCATTTTGTTTGCTAGGTACGCAGAAATGGATCCCACAACAGCAGCTTTGGAGAAAGAACACGAGCAAATCACGAAAGTTAAATACATCGATCGAATACAGATCGGTCGATTCGAAATCGACACTTGGTATTTCAGCCCTTTCCCCGAGGACTACGGCAGACAAAGCAAACTGTGGATATGCGAATATTGTTTGAAATACATGCGATTAGAGAAGAGCTACAAATATCACATGGTGAGACATCAAACAATTTCTTTCGTTCGATTATTAAATCATTTTGTTGTAGAGCGAATGTACTCAAAGGCAACCGGTTGGTAAAGAAATATACAGAAAAGGAACCTTATCAGTATATGAAGTGGATGGTAAAGACTACAAAGTGTACTGTCAAAATTTGTGTTTGCTGGCCAAATTATTCCTCGATCACAAAACGTTGTATTTCGATGTCGAACCGTTTCTGTTCTACATATTGTGCGAAGTAGACAAACAGGGAGCCCACATTGTCGGGTACTTCTCGAAGGTATTATCTATAATATTGTTTCTTTCCGAATATATTGCATTCGCAATTTCCAGGAAAAAGAATCTCCAGATGGCAATAACGTGGCCTGCATACTAACTTTACCGCCCTACCAACGCCAGGGTTACGGCAAATTGTTGATAGCTTTCAGTTACGAATTATCCAGACTAGAGGGCGCCGTCGGTAGCCCCGAACAGCCGCTCAGCGATTTGGGGAAGCTCAGCTACAGGAGCTACTGGAGTTGGGTGTTGCTCGAGATACTCAGAGATTTCAGAGGGACGCTGTCGATAAAAGATTTAAGGTATACAAGTAACGAGTATTTGGTACAGTATAAAAAACGTATATTTGCAGTCAAATGACGAGCATCAGTCAAACGGACATAATTTCGACGTTGCAAAGCATGAATATGGTGAAATATTGGAAAGGGCAACACGTTATATGCGTTACACCGAAACTGGTCGATGAACACATCAAATCCAGCCAGTATAAAAGGCCACGATTGTGCGTCGATAGCAGCGCCCTCAGGTGGACGCCGAGGCGACATCTCAATAACAATAAGCTGGGGAAAAAGTGAAAAGCGTTTCTAAATAATTCCGTTCCTTATTAGAATTGTTTCGAGAGGGAAAATCGTGAGATATGAAGAGGAACTAAATGTTGTATTAAGGCGGACATTCGTCTGCTTATTGTAAAATTATAAGTGTTTGTAGGAGTTTTAGTAAAACTAGCGACTCTATGCATTCCTGCTATCCTGCTGTGAGATCGAACGAAAATTTTACCAACACAAACCTGGATGTTGTGTCTAGGAATAACTAAATTTTAGGACAATACGTCGACCGTTTCGTTTCGAATTTACTTTCACGTTAATGCGCTTGTAATTTTACATAGTTTGTAGGAGTTTGAGTTTTAATAAACCTGAAATTTACTAAATTAATTGATACACGTACGGTGTGTGTTTGGAACCTTCTCAATTTCATAAATTCCTGTCACCGGGACTATCTCGTTCTCTCACTGGAAAACTGCTTATCATTCTTTTCATACCTTTTCTAACTATTTCGATTGGTGCAAAGCACGTTCGTATATTTCTAGAAATATAGGACCGTTGTGCAAAACTAGTAAATAAAAAAACCTACTATTTATTGTCACCAACCATTTTATTTACCTTTTTTAACGTCTCTTACTCTACAGTACAATATTTTTATATTATACACCAATCAACACTCCTCGCTCTGTAACGTTAAACTTCCACCGGTATCCTGCTATCCTGATCATATTGCCGTACTTATACAACAATATTGGCGTAAGTACAGCCACCAAATTTGTACTAACCACTAGCCAAAACCAACCATTATTTAAACCCGATTACATCGCTCGCGCTACGCCTATAACATGCTCGAGTCGAAGGCGGAATTCTGCTATCTGCGTTCGCCATAGTTTCCTATTCGTTCGACAGCATGGCGTCTTGCGTGCTGGCGCTAAAATCGATCGCTGCAGGACCGGGCGCTCTCCTCGCGCTCCTGCTATCCCGCCAACGGCGACTCTAGGTAAAACACCACACCACGTGCGATTAAACTCGAAAGCTTCCCGGCTACCACGCATCGGCAAACGCTCGAATTCTCCGGACTGTAATGTAATCGAAATCTCTGTTATCAGAAGAACTAGGCACGTATTCGTAGGGGATTAAACGATTTATTTCTAAATAGAAACGCGTGTATACGACGGAGGGGAATGTCGAAAAGGTCTCGGGTATTTTTGAATTATTCCCGCAACATATTCTCCTGCTACGAATTACAAATTCCGCGGAAAGGTGGCGATAAAGTGAAGTTACTGAAAACGGTAATGTACACGACGTTTGGAACAAATGCTCTACTGGGTGCCAGGAAAACATGAGGACTAGCACGTGTGGTGGTCTTTTACAACGCTGGTTAATGCTTGTAAATTCGAGCGTGTTTAATGGTGGGTACTTTTACCTGAGCGCGTACAGCGTGTTTGTACTTATAGTAGTTGGATTTAACCAGATCGGGATTGCTGGTGCACCCCTTTATAGCTCGCAGCGTGGCAGCGGAAGCAGGAAAGTAGGATTCGATGAAAAGTTCGTATGCTTTAGGTCGCTTAACAAACCGGTAAAAGTGGAAGAAAATATTTGGAGCGATGTACAGGGTGTTCTCGCACTTATGACACTAAATTCTAGGGGTGGTAGTGATGTTCAGAGGTTATGTAAAAAACTGTTTAAATATTAAAGTGTGAAACTCTTTATTTAAAATAAAGAAACGAGGAAAAATAAATTTACAACAATCTTGTGAAAAAAGATACAACTGTCTAACTACAGTGACAGATACAAAAGTGACATTGACATTGACTTAACCGCGAAAATACAAATTTTAATATCAACAGGTAGTTGCATAATTTGAGATCGATTCGCAGATTTCATTTTTCTAAAAAAATTATAATAAACAAATGGAGCCATTAGAAATAAATGCAAAGAGCGAATACTACCCTGGCTTAAATAATCAGCTGATCGGGATTTTAATTCAAAAAAACAGATTCGGTGTATTTATCAGCGAGAGCAAATTTCCCCCTCCGCCCTCCAGTTTACGAAAAACGTTATCGATGTATGACGAATTGTATTGTTTTGCTTATAACTTCGGGGTTAAATAGATTTTTATGTTTAGACTTTAGTGATTTATTTGATTGTTTTAATTGTTAGTGGTCTTAGTTTAGTTCTTGTTCGTTATAGTGATGTTCTGGAACAATATTAAGCAGCTGTCAACAACAAAATAGGTGAGCTAATATTCCTTTCGAGTTTGAAGTTTATTTTCTTCTATCGTTTGAAAAACCCGGTTTACTATTATAATTTATTCATGATTCTAAAAATTTTGAGACCATGTGGAATAAGTAATAAACAAATTCAAATAAGATATTACTCTTAATTTATAAATCATTATTTTGTTGATTCTTGGTCGAGGGGTTTCAACCGATGTACAGGATCGTATTTCTTTAAAATATTTTTATATTTCAAATTTTGTTTATTATATTTAAAAAAAAAGAAATCTGCGAATCGGTCTCAAATTATGCAAACTACCACCCTTAGAATTGAGTGCAATAAGAACACCCTGTATAAGTGATCATTGACGCATTTTATGCATCAATAAAATGCCCAAAATGCACCTGTATCAAATTACATTACTTGCTTAGAATGAACAGCAATGTTGCCCATTAATATACCTACATTTTTTGCATCGAAATGAACTTACTTAAAAAAACACTGTAATAATAAGTTAATGGGTATAATAACAATAATAATTTGGTGGATACAAGCGCGTGAAATGGTAATAAACAGGTATGTTGCCAAATCGATATTTCCTCAGTTAACAACGAGTGGAATTCCAGGAATGACGAGAACTCTGTCAGCGAGAGTTCACCATAGTCCAAGGAGCAGGATAACATGAACGAAAACGGATCGTTCGCGTTTCCTTTCCACTAAACTCGCACATACAATGTTGCCAATGAATTTCCTATTACACCATAACATTTCACAAACCAGAAAATTACTCAAGTACGTGCACTTAGAACCCTACGCAATTAACAAAGAAACTGTAAATTGTACACAAACATCGTAAAAAACTAGTAACTTCTGCTTGAATCCGATTGAAAATCATCTGCAATCTACAAGCGAGAAAACTTTCACCAATTCACCTACACTAACCGGCAACAACGGCATCCAACGCACTAGCAATTACCGGTATAATTCCCGAGCAGCAGGAGCTCGAAATCCGTTTCGCTCTTCCCGATGCTGGTGCTCGTTCGGTTTCAGCACCGATTCAGTTTCAGGCGAAGAGAACGGCCAAAAATCCGACCTGGTGGCCGAGCTAGGTCCCCCGGAGAGCGCCAACAGCACCGCAGGTGATCCGGCGACGTCGTGGAAACCGATCCGACGTCTGTCGAGGAAAAATCCGCTCTTCTTTCTTTAGGGGACAACAAAGAAGGGATGATCGAGTTTTAATCCAATAAAGATGATGCATGCATTCCAGGTTTGTGTTGGTAAAATTTTCTTCGAATCTCCGACTAGGAAGGCATGTAGCCGGAGAGGTGCTGTAGAGTTTGATTATTTCACGCGTACGAATCGCCTCGTTGCGTTGTAGTTTAACGTCCTGCTATCCTGCTGAGGCCGATTCGGAGGCGACACCATATTGCTTAGGTTGTAGGTAGCGCATTGAACTCGGATTTATGATTAATGGATGTAGCGAGATTAAATTATTAAAAGACACATAGTTAACGAATTTATTTACTAAAGGGGTTGATTATTGATTGGTTAGTTTGTATTTGGCTCGATTAGAAATTTTGGTTTAATCTTATTAAATTGAAGATAATAATAATAAAACTTGCAAGTGGCTAAATAAAATACTTACGCGAGTGCGACTTTAGATACGTTTTAAACTAAAAAGATTCAAAGGTAGCAGGAATACATGAGAACGCGGGGATTCATTCAGATGCAAAATTTTGTTCATTTCCCACGTAAAAGGCCAAATTTGTATAATATAATTCGCATATTTACCTGTCCCGTGTCATTGTTTTCATTGCGTTGTGCATTCCATGTTAAAGAGGAAAAAAATAGGGTGAAAATTTTCCGTAACTTATTCTGTAGAGCTATAGCTGAAGCTTTGAACCCAAAATAAACATTAAAAGTATCTATTTTTGAGTCATTTTGTATAAGAAATTCTTATAATTTCAACTTGTTTTGTAGCAGAACATTACCAAAAACAATGCTATATTTTGAACAATTTTTTCAATAGCTTGACTCCAATTTACATCTTCAAATTCTGCCTGAATAAATATTTTTGCTAAGACAGTTAATGAAATAAGTCGAGTTTAAGCTTAAAAACAACAACGCTCTCGGTATGTGAAAATCACGTGTTGCCATATGGCAACCTGCTACATCAGGCTACCAGGAATCGAAGAGAGTAAACCGAAAATGGTATCTAATCGAACGAGGGAGAGTGTTGTTTACATTTTAACCGCCGCAGTTCATGTTTTCCTGGTGCTCGATGTATCACATGTGAACCATAATTATAATCGAAACTTTATCATCCAACTCGGACGGTTTTGCGTCGAGTTCGCCCGCGAATTTCCTACGGGGTTTGCTTATTTATTTGTTTAAAGCCGTGCGAGAAAACGGGATTATGTATTAAATTTTTTAAATAATTTAAATTTTTATTTTTTATGAATGGTTTGTGGTTAAGTTCCTGGTGCTGCAGTATTTGTTTTTATTACTATATGGTTTTTTTTTTTTGAATCAACAGTTCTGTTTTAAGGCTTTAGGGTTTTTATAGACGATATTTCTTTTTTTTTTTTTTTTATTTATTGGTATATTCTGTTACCCGTTTTTCTTATAAATTATACAAATTATTGATTTATCAAATTGGCAGAAATTTCGTTTTTCTACGAATTAATCAAAATATTTAATAATAAAGGTAATGTAATAATACAAAAAAAAAATTAACAAAATCTTTAACAAAATTATTTTTTGAAAAAGAAATAAAAAAATTGACCCCGACGTGATTTGAACACGCAACCTTCTGATCTGGAGTCAGACGCGCTACCGTTGCGCCACGGAGTCTTGTGTAATATGTTTCTAAACAATGTATTTATAATTAAAAATAACACGTCCAATATTTTTATTTGAAGTATAAACGTTAACTATTAATAATTGAACTACTTCGTTGTTCCTTTGTACCCAAAATTTTGTTAAAAATATTAGCAATTAAAGGATTACTAATATAACAGAAATCTGTAAATTATAATTAAAATTTCCTGTAGATCCAAATCAATCTACTTACAAAATTAGATACTAGATGGCGCGACAGTATTAAAAATGTCCTGTAATACATGCAACATTAACTCAAAAATGCACCACTAGATGAAAATAGTATGCACTTTTTAATAGGTACTTTCATCAATAAATTAACAACAAAATAACCAAAACGCTTTATTCAAAAATAACATCGCTACAGCAATTCATTATTTCAAAACCTTATGCTTCGCGTTATCCATTCTCACATCGATATCAAACGGCCCTTCGCCGTCATCATCTTCATCGTTGAATTGTAAATTCGTCACGCCGGACCGAGAAGAACGGATTTTTTCGCCGAAATGCGTGAAATGATCGTTCAACACTTCATCCACCAGATTCTCCGGTCGTTTATCCGAGTTCTCGTCTGCCGAACTCCTTGTTATCAGCTCCTTCAGCACTTTAACTATGCCTTTACCAGCAGCGGTTTTATCGGTTTTTTTCTCTTCGACGTGCGAAGCTACGCCTTTCTCGCGGATATCCCGCTCTCGGGCGTCGTTCAGGTAATCCTCCACTTCCTTATCCAGCTCCATCACGTCGTAGTTGCAGTTCTTCGATCTGCAGCTCACGCAGAATTCCACGTCGACGTGGTCCTTCGCTTTGCAAACGTCTTGCGAGGAATCGGTGCAACCGCGTTCGAAGAAAGCCCTGCCGTTGTCGTCCACTGCAAAAGGAAATTAACGATTTAGATAGATCCAAGTGGATGCAGAAGGATAAATGTTACCTGTTGCGCGGACGAAGCAAGTCGCTTCAGGTCCTCTGCATAGGGCTCGCCTTGGGGCTGCTTTGCTTCTGCTGCCGAAGCGGCACCTGCTGAAGACGTCCGTGGAATTGCATTTTAGACATACCAGACTGTATGCTGTAGAAAAAATACTTTGTTTTATAATACACGTATAAGTAGCAACGAAATCAATCAAAGTACTAGAAAGTTGTTGGTAGAACAAAAACGTGTGTTAGGAGTTGTTTCCAGGTAGTAAGAACGTAATAATAACGATTTTTATACCTACCTTATTCTCATTTAAACAAAATCTAAGTAGCAGATAATTGAATAAGCCATTTTAAATTATGACTTAAACTCGTTCTAGTTTAATCTGAATCAACATGGTATGAAATATACAAAGAATACGTAAGCAAAATAATTATAACAAATAAGCTTATGCATGAGAAAAGAGATTAAAAAATATTTACCTTCGACCACGAAACACAGTAACAACCACCCTAAAACGATTCGCGCCATGACCACTAACGTACTAACCCCGAAAGAATCCCGAACTAAAATGAACCACGTCAAAGCCGAAAATTTCGCTAAATTACTTTCGGAGGGCCATTAAGCTTCAACAACTAATTCTCTTAATTAGGGTTGGGTCGTTCAAAACCGAAAAATCCACCGGATTAACGGAACGGGCCATTCAAATTGCGGATTGCCTGGCGAATCGGTGGGGGTTGTTTTGGAAAGTTAGTGGGTTTTTAATTTAGTTTTGAATATCGACAGGCGCTTTCTAAAATTCCCGTATCCATTTGGGATTTTCGCGAAGGAGAAAACGCTTACGTGGAATCCGCTGCATCACCCCTACAACGCTGTTTCCATTCAAACCAACCCGCCCCATCGATGTATGATAAATTGCGAAATGACATTATCACATCAAACTCGCTAGGCGAATCTTTGACTATTAAGCAAACTGAGTCAGCCGGTGATTAGTGGCAGGCTCCCTTTTTCGTTGAATAAGATGCTTAAGCCCTCTAAAGACTCGGGTTTTTTTATGCGGCTAACAGATATGCATAAAGAATTGGATTAGCAACATTCCTTTCCCCACTCGATGCAGCGAGGGTGCAGATATTTACGAAGAATAGGCTTAAATTGTGCGGACCCAATCGAGCGAGAATTTCGAATTTCAACATAACATCATCACGCGATTCATTTACATAAAAGAGTAGCGAAATTGCTATAACTTCATTTTTATACACACACACACACAAACGAAACGAAACGAAATTATTATGTATCCATCTAATATTCAATTACCCACCGTCGAGATCGAGCATAAAGTCTTCTCATTTGGTCTCATCCAATAAATTACGTGATTTAACGTCTGCCGAGAGAAATAAAAAAAAAGGAAGAGAAGAAACCAAAAGCGAAATTGCACCGCCATCAGTGACGTGACTATCGTGAAACAACAACGCGTCTTCCGATCCGCGCACGATGTTCCATCACGAAGCCAATGGGAGTGGAAACCACCGATTGCACCAACTCCATCGGCAATTAATCCTTTGGAAACCGAATCATTAACCGGCTAATTAATTACGCTTGAATCTCAGGCGGATTGGATTGAACACCAGACCATCTAACACCGGATTTTTTAGGCCAACAAAGCAGATAATCTTTTAAGTCTAACATCAATTGGATAAAATTGGATATTTTAATGATGCAATACACTTTGATATGCCAGTAATTGTTATCTTAATCAACCTTAAATCAACTTAATAGTGCCTAGTAGATTGGACTGCACACGTTCTCTCTTTTACCATTAATACCATCTGTATACACCATGTTTAAATGATAAATCAATGTATAATCAACAATTCCATCATCTATCTAAAGTACTGTTAACTTTCTTGATGGAAAATTGTCTCCAATAAGCTCGAGTGCAGTCGATCCGCTCCGGCTTGTCTTACAGAGGGCGAAAGTGATCTTTGACTATGGTAAGTGCTCCTGTGGCTCGGTATATGCAGATGTTACATAGAAGTCGGGAGTTATTTCTGGTCTATATTGGGCCAATAAACATCGAATGTCGCTGGTAAAACGTTGGTAGGTTTCTGTTTTATTGGTGTAATGGAATATCGTGCGTGGAATAGGCGAGCTACTTATGCGATGATGTCGTTATTTAGCAATTTGACATTATTAAGGAACTATTTGCTACCTATATGGAACGAACGATGCGAGGTTGTTAATTGAATGTATGATCAATTTGTGGTTGATGATGATGTACTCGTATCATGTTACATCAATAATTTCTGAGGACTCTTTTCTCTTGTATTCTTAAGAATTTTTTATCAAGTTGGTGGTTCGAGGGCGAGGGTCCGGTCCTGTGCAGGGCTCTTCGGAAGGGTCACTCCCTTCGATCATTCGATACATGCCCTGATTATAAAGCGAGCACCATCGGAATTAATTGCAAAGAAATTAACCCTTTTCGGAGATCGTTAGCGCTATTTAATTTGCAGCGGGTCGGGCGAACTTCGACGGGGCGAAAACTGAAAACGGCTTTAATAACGACCTCCTGACAGATTTATGTCGAATCGGTAACGGATTAATTAGTCGGAGCAAAAGTGAAAAGCGCCACATATTGCGGAGTAGGGGCGGCGATTTTTTTTATATCCGTGAAATACGGCTTGATGGAGTTTTAATAACTAGCACAATTAATCCTCGCTTATAAATAACTGTTTATTTTTCTGTTATTAGCAATTCGATTCGTATGAGTGGGATTTAATTTAGTTGTTAAAGTGATTTAGTTGTTAACATTTACGCATCAGAAATTACATGATGTTTTGGCGAATTGGACTCGCTCTATATGGATATAGTTTAGATAGCTGGAGGATAATTCTAAGCCCAGGCGTCCACTTTGGTTACCAAACAACTGGCCTGTAAAATTTCCACCAGTTTCGGAATTAACATTATCTGCGAATTGCCGTTCGGAGAATTCCTCTGCGAAACTTTCTTCGATATTAAATTTATTAATCGGCCGAAATGTTTGAAGAAATAACTTGAAATCTTCGCGGATCAAGCACTCGCCGAGCGTATGAAACAACCCTTCGAAATCCCCGCCATCGCCGTCGAAACACAATGGACCATATTTCAGATTTAGTGGCGAAGGTGCCCGAATTAATTACCCGACATTAACCCATAATGGACGAGAGTGCATAGTCCAGCACCCGATAATATCGCCCGTACAGGTGATTTAAAATAACAACGTACACGGCCCCGGCATTTTCACTCTTATCATATACGACATTGCCATAGTCCGGGGCCTTACGGATAAATTCCGTTTCAACGTTTAAAACTATCAATGGAGTAAATGGAATGTTTCCTTCGGTGTATAAATTTCGGAATGGCAAATTGCTACAGCAGTTACACACAATCAATCTATCACAACGCATACGGTTTAGTGCAGCGTACACATTAAATACAAATTACGTAAAATAGGAGGCGACAATACGATGAAATTGAATCCAACAAATTATCCACGACAGTCGGGAATTTCTGGAACAGCTCCAGTTTCATTTGAATTAAGGTCGCTTACGATCTAGGTGTTTGACGATGAAGAAAAAATTTGTTTATTTCAAGGTATTGTGCCGGTTTTATTTCGCTTTAATAACATTAAATCCGAGCGGGGCCGTTAGCGTTTCATTAAACTTCTACACCTTTTAGAGTCTATTGCTAGATAAAATTTTATCGCTAATAAAATTTGCATTGTAGACCAGACCATATTCACCCGACGAGTCTCCCATACGTCGCTTAAGTGGCCGTTTCTTGAAGAATTACACGTGATAACGGCGCGAGAGGATGCCCCATTCGAAATAGTCCGAGGCCAAAAACCGATGGTTTTTATACGACTCGATTGCTATTATACGCTTCCATTGTGTCCTTATCTTTAGTTAATAAGTGAGGTATAAAAACACCCCCTATTTCGAAACACCGCGAATAAATCAAGTTTTTTACACGCGTATACGTATTCGCGACACCTCCACTCTATCTTCCTCCTCATTATGCCAGAATAGATTAAGCCGAAATTACGAAGTAACTTCCTCTAGACCGCACTAGGGTAGAAAAAACACCACCACCCTCATTACCCGCCCTTATCAAAACTATAAATTCAGCCTAAATTAACGATAAATTCGTGACATCTGGGCCAACCATACCCATTGATTTATTTCCGTAATATTCCGAGTCGACGTCTCCCGCTCGGCGTATCCTCCACCCCGGTCCCAGACCATAACGTTTCGCGTTTCCTTCACACTCGGAGACGTCACGACGAAGACAAAGGAACAGAAGGTCGGAGAGATTAATTAAGATGTCACCTTGTTTACATCTTTGCATATTGGATTCAGCGTTTACCAGGAAAGGAGAAATTTCCTCCGCAATTTCCCGTCGATTTCGGCGCTTGCACGGGCGTATATTCGCCTAATTGATTAGGCAAAAATGCGCGTCATTTTCGAAATAAACGACTAATTTATTTTTAGCGAGAACAATGGGTCGCGCGGCCGCAGCCGCGGACTTGTACCGGTGATGTTGCCAATAAATCCGACGGGACAGTTGCCCATTATCTGGGTTATTAGCATGATTGGACAAAACGGCGAAGGGAATTACAAACGAGTACGTTTAAATAAGGCCTAGTCTGGTCGCGATTAACAATCAGTTTTCATCATAACTGGTATACGCGGATTGTCGGTATGCGTGTATGTGATGTGTACGAGGATCATGGACCTAATATGGACCGGACTTGCATTTCATTATTGCCGATTTGCTCGGTTAATTTCGAATTTATTACACAATTCCACGAATCCATTATTGATGCTTAGATATTACCTTACTTCTTCTCTTTAATACCCAAGCAACAAATATCGTTATTTCCTTTAATCTTAATCATTATCCTTATCATCATCATGCACTTGAACCAATCGAATTCTTTACACAACCAGACTATAGGGACATCTAGATTTTACTTTCCCTGTAGTGAATATTATTCGATACGATCCTGTCTTTGGTAACAATTAATGCCGACTGTTAGGGTATTGTAAAGGCGAAATAGGACTTCATCGTTCACCGGCCGTCATGGCTCACGTGAATTTAACTCTCCAACTTTTCGCACCACCCTCGTATATCGACGACTTCCTAATTATAGCAAGCCATGTTACAAGATAGTGTGCGATGTCGGGATCGAAGGAGTCGTTAATCATCGATCGAGACGATCGATATAACGTAGATCTCCGTGAATAGTATTTTGCTATGATAAATCTGGTTGCATTGTTTGGTTGCAGTTGCAGTTGCGTTGGTTTTTAGGCCACCAGGTAGGTGCGCACCAACCCCGAAACCCGTTTTCGAACGGTGTGTATTTAAACTTAATTAAAAACAAATAAATTGGTCCATTTATCAATGGATCGAACGCCTACAAGTCGCACACCCTGCCTCCAGAATTGCCTGCTCTTCGTGTTTTTTTTTTCTTCTTTTTTTTTCTCTTCTTC